TATCATCCTTTGCGTGTACGAATAAGACATAAGAATAAGCATTAAAATTACCCCTGATGAAGACATTGAAAAACTACAAGCAGATATTAATAAAGTTTTTGACTGGGCAGCAGAAAATAACATGATGTTTAACAGTGATAAATTCCAGGTATTCAGATACGGTAAAAATGAGGACCTTAAACATAATACAGGGTACAAAACACAATCAAATGTACCCATAGTAGGAAAGCAACGTGTAAAGGATTTGGGAATAATGATGTCCGACGACCTAACGTTTAGGGAACATAACCAAGCAAATATTGCGTCAGCCAGAAAAATGATAGAATGGATTACGAGAACTTTCAAATCCAGGGATCCCATCACAATGGTTGTATACTATACAAATCACTTGAATAAAGCACCTAAATTAATGTGATCGTATCAAAGCACTCCAAATGACTCATTAGAAAGGAAACGAGAGAGATACCAAATAATATACACATGGAAAATACTGGAGGGCCAGGTCCCAAATCTACACAGTAAAATAGCAACACACTGGAGTGAACGATATGGAAGAAAATGCAGAATAGAACCAGTGAAGAGCAGGGGTGCCATAGGCACAATCAGAGAGCACTGTATAAACATCAGAGGTCCGCGGTTGTTCAACACCCTCCCAGCGAGCATAAAAAATATTGCCGGAACAACCGTGGACATCTTCAAGATAAAACTAGATTGTTTTCTAAAAAAAAAAAAAAGTGCCGGACGCACCGGGCTGTGGTGGGTATGTGGGCCTGCGGGCCGCTCCAAGCAACAGTCTAGTGGACCAAACTCTCACAAGTCAAGCCTGGCCTCAGGCCGGGTTTGGGGGAGTAGAAGAACTCCCAGAATCCCATCAACCAGGTATCAAGCAGGGGTAGTGGTGGTGGTGGCAGTGGTGCTGGCAGGAGTGGTGGCAGGGGTAGTGGTGGTGGCAGGGGTGGTAGCAGGGGTGGTAGTGGTGTTCACAACCACCAGTGTTGTCACAGTTGAGCGTGTTGACACTTGTATTCTCGTGGCCGCCAGTGTTTTCTTGTGTTTTTTTAAGCTGTTCTTGTTTTGTTTAAGTGTCATACTACCCACTTAAGTAAAGCGGCCACACATACTATGACCCCCCCCCTCCCCCCCCCCACACACACACACATACACGCTGGGAAAAAAGTGTTGCACAGAATGTTTGTGTCCCCAGTAAGTATGCTCAAAGGCAATCTTGAGGTTATCTTGAGATGATTTCGGGCCTTAGCGTCCCCGCGGCCCGGTCCTCGACCTACCTTACCTTGAGGTTACCTTGAGGTGCTTCCGGGGCTTAGCGTCCCTGCGGCCCGGTCGTAGACCAGGCCTCCTCGTTGCTGGACTGGTCAACTGTTGGACGCGGCTGCTCTCAGCCTGACGTACGAATCACAGCCTGGTTGATCAGGTATCCTTTGGAGGTACTTATCAAGTTCTCTCTTGAACACTGTGAAGGGTCGGCCAGTTATGCCCCTTATGTGTAGTGGAAGCGTGTTGAACAGTCTCGGGCCTCTGATGTTGATAGAGTTCTCTCTCAGAGTACCTGTTGCACCTTTGCTTTTCAACGGGGGTATTCTGCACATCCTGCCATGCTTTCTGGTCTCATGTGATGTTATTTCTGTATGCAGGTTTGGGACCAGCCCCTCAATTATTTTCCACGTGAAAAATTACGTGGAATGAACCAGGACTCCTTTTATGTTACACATTCCCCAGGAAGCAGCCCGCAGCAGCTGTCTAACTCCCAGGTACCTATTTACTGCTAGGTGAAGAGGCGGGCATCAGGGTGAAAAATACTCTGCCCATTTGTTTCCGCCTCCACCGGGGATCGAACCCGGAACCTCAGGACTACGAATCCCGAGCGCTGTCCACTCAGCTGTCAAGGCCCCAGGTCGTACCGAAAATCTTAAAATAAAATTATTAATCATGACCGCGAAGAATTAATCCGATGTCTGAAGAACGGTAGAGGATTAACTCAATGTCTCGAAAACGATAATAGATTAATTCAATATATCTAAATAGAACTATCTTAAAAATTCTATCACATGTGCGGATTTTTTGTTTGTGAAAAAAACTAACTTGCGTACTTTAAGGCTCTATTCAGTATCCCTTAAAATGGAAGAAGGCCATTAGCCTCCGGACCAATTACACTACGTATGATGCAAATAATATTGAAATTCCTGAGCAAACTAGCGAGTGGCGGCGGAGGTTCGTTAATTGAGTGTTTATAAACAATCTGAGAGCGGTTCACGAGGCTCCAATTGGGCCACTAGATAAAGACGGTGATCAAAGCCGGGAAGAAGCGCTGTTGTGACAAGGGGCCCCTGTTGTGTCTGGGGGCCAGGGGCCCTCCTTCCCTGGCAGGGGAGGAGGAGGAGGAGGGCCCCTGTCCAGCCCCTGCCAGGCTTGCATCTGCACCTGCCGGGCCGTACCCAGTCCCTGTTTACCCTTACCTAGACCTCTGTCTGGTCCTCCGTTGGCTGCCCTGTTGTTTGGTAAAGTTGTCAGGGTGGAAGAGTTTCCTTCCCTACCTCTGTGTTGATCTCTCCCTTGTCTTTCACTGTTGTCTAGTAATGGTCTCCCTGTGCCCGGGCACTGCTGCCTGTGCCCGGGCACTCCTGTGCCCGGGCACTGCTGCCTGTGCCCGGGCACTGCTGCCTGTGCCCGGGTACTGCTGCCTGTGCCCGAGTACTGCTGCCTGTGCCCGGGCACTGCTGCCTGTGCCCGGGCACTGCTGCCTGTGCCCGGTACTGCTGCCTGTGCCCGAGTATTGCTGCCTGTGCCCGGGCACTGCTGCCTGTGCCCGGGCACTGCTGCCTGTGCCCGAGTACTGCTGCCTGTGCCCGAGTACTGCTGCCTGGGCACTGCTGCCTGTGCCCGGGCACTGCTGCCTGTGCCCGGGCACTGCTGCCTGTGCCCGGGCACTGCTGCCTGTGCCCGGGTACTGCTGCCTGTGCCCGGGTACTGCTGCCTGTGCCCGGGCACTGCTGCCTGTGCCCGGGCACTGCTGCCTGTGCCCGGGCACTGCTGCCTGTGCCCGGGCACTGCTGCCTGTGCCCGGGCACTGCTGACTGTGCCGGGCACTGCTGCCTGTGCCCGGGCACTGCTGCCTGTGCCCGGGCACTGCTGCCTGTGCCCGGGCACTGCTGCCTGTGCCCTGCACTGCTGCCTGTGCCCGGGCACTGCTGCCTGTGCCCGGGCACTGCTGCCTGTGCCCGGGCACTGCCTGCCTGCACTGCTGCCTGTGAGTACTGCTGCCTGTGCCCGGGCACTGCTGCCTGTGCCTGCACTGCTGCCTGTGCCCGGGCACTGCTGCCTGTGCCCGGGCACTGCTGCCTGTGCCCGGGCACTGCTGCCTGTGCCCGGGCACTGCTGCTGTGCCTGCTGCCTGTGCCCGGGCACTGCTGCCTGTGCCCGGGCACTGCTGCCTGTGCCCGGGCACTGCTGCCTGTGCCCGGGCACTGCTGCCTGTGCCCGGGCACTGCTGCCTGTGCCCGGGCACTGCTGCCTGTGCCCGGGCACTGCTGCCTGTGCCCGGGCACTGCTGCCTGTGCCCGGGCACTGCTGCCTGTGCCCGGGCACTGCTGCCTGTGCCCGGGCACTGCTGCCTGTGCCCGGGCACTGCTGCCTGTGCCCGGGCACTGCTGCCTGTGCCCGGGCACTGCTGCCTGTGCCCGGGCACTGCTGCCTGTGCCCGGGCACTGCTGCCTGTGCCCGGGCACTGCTGCCTGTGCCCGGGCACTGCTGCCTGTGCCCGGGCACTGCTGCCTGTGCCCGGGCACTGCTGCCTGTGCCCGAGTACTGCTGCCTGTGCCCGGGCACTGCTGCCTGTGCCTGGGCACTGCTGCCTGTGCCCGGGCACTGCTGCCTGTGCCCGGGCACTGCTGCCTGTGCCCGGGCACTGCTGCCTGTGCCCGGGTACTGCTGCCTGTGCCCGGGCACTGCTGCCTGTGCCTGGGCACTGCTAGCTGTGCCCGAGCACTGCTCCCTATACCCTTATCACTACCCTCATCTCCGCTCTTCCTCCCCCCCCCCACCACTTGACACCCCTCAACCATCCCCCCCTTAGTCATCCCTTCCCCTTCTCCCTAACCCCTTTTCCCCACCATTATTCCTTCCACTAACCCATCCTCGTATTTCCCTACCACTAACCTCTGACTATTCCACCTACTGTCCCCCATTCATTCAAGGCTGCAGAAACACTCTGAAAATCACCCACAGGTAACTCATGGCACAGGTCTCACCCTCCCCCTCCCCTCCCTCGCCCCTACTGTACCTTTCATTCTCAATTTGCACCTGTCGTTTCCCTTGGACGAGTATATGTGAGGGGACAGTGACGCCAGCTCCCTTACCTCCCCTCTTCCCTCAGTGTCGAGGCAAGGCAGCGGGCCCGTCTCTCATCTCTCTTAATTACTCGCGTATACCTGCACGACGCGGCTTATACCTGCGGGGTATTTGTCCTATTTATCTGCCAAAGTAGCTAGCTGGCTCTTCTTCTGCCGCAGAAAAACAACAACATTTGTCTGTAGACCATTTTACATCTCTGCGGTAAGGAGATGGTATCGGAGGAGGTTTTAAGTGCTGTTCCTCTCGCTGTAAATTAAGATAGTTAAAAGTGTTCTTATATACATCTCCCCAGCTAGAGAGAAATTAAATTTGCCGTTTCTTGAGACGCGAGCTGAGAGTTACAACCGTTCCCCCCTAAAAAAAAAATTAAGAGGTAATTTTCTTCCGTTGACAAGCAATTAAGTATCTGATGGAAATAAATTGAAATCTATGAGTACAATTAACCATTCAGTGACTTAATTGTTTTATAAATTAAAGCCAGATTATGTTTTGATAGAGTAAGATTAAATATAAACATTTCGAATTTGAAGAATGAGTCAAGGGGGTAATAAGTGCAGTATCATGTAGCAGTTGAAGCGCCATTAGTAATGGAATATTTGGAGCTTTACTAATAATAGACTTTATTTGTTTAGGTGTGGACGAGGAGTTAACCCACAAGGGTCACAGCCCCGTGGTACAGAGTGCTGGGGGGACAACGCAGCAACAACAGACAGTTCAGCAACAGCCACCAACGAGCCAATCAGCGGCGGAGATCCGGCGATACCGAACAGCCTTCACCAGGGAGCAGATCGGCCGACTGGAGAAGGAGTTCTACAAGGAGAACTACGTGAGCCGACCCAGGCGCTGCGAGCTGGCCCAGGAGCTGAACCTGCCGGAGTCCACCATTAAGGTCAGTTCTCACGCTGCCATCACCAATTGTTTTCATATTTTAATTCCTAGGAGGTTCTAGGTCAGTTCTTAAGCTGCCATCACCAATTGTTTTCATATTTTAATTCCCAGGAGGGTCTAGGTCAGTTCTCAAGCTGCCATCACCAATGGTTTTCATATTTTAGTTCCCAGGAGGGTCTAGGTCAGTTCTCAAGCTGCCATCACCAATTGTTTTCATATTTTAGTTCCCAGGAGGGTCTAGGTCAGTTCTCAAGCTGCCATCACCAATTGTTTTCATATTTTAGTTCCCAGGAGGGTCTAGGTCAGTTCTCAAGCTGCCAATCACCAATTGTTTCTATATTTTAATTCCCAGGAGGGTCTAGGTCAGTTCTCAAGCTGCCATCACCAATTGTTTTCATATTTTAATTCCTAGGAGGTTCTAGATCTTTGTATGATATTATTTAAAGAAACTCCCAAAACTGCTTTCAAATGTTTTTTCCTTGGAAAAAAAAATCAGAACCCTCACGAAATCCCTCAAGGTAATTATGAGGATAGAATGCAATGCCAGTATAACACTTAGGACACATTAAGTGCTGGAATAAGGACACATTAAGTGCTAAGATATTAGTATAAGATCTGCGCCTGGCCTGGGGAGTAGTAGGACTCTAGAGACACTCTCCAGGTAAGGTGAAAAAACGGTGCCCGGCCACTTGAACTATCAGGGATCGAACACCCCCCCCCCCCCCCTCCGTAGGAAGCAACAAAATTCTCTCAATCTTTTAAATTTTCTGGTTGTATTTGTAACTCGTGTTTTGAGTTAGTGTGTTCGTGCTTTAGCAAACCTCTCCCGCATCCGTTCATTTTCTTGCCAATAAATCGGTAGTGTTCTTGTTTTTCCGGATATGGAGAAATTTAATTTAATTTGATTAAATTCCTGTCATTTAATGCTTCATTATTTTAAACATATTCTAGCAAAATTGTTGAAACTATACAACAAACGATCTTTATGTGAAACATGCCATAGAATGTAGGAACTACAGCTGTATTACAGACCACACAGGAGTAGCCATGTCTATGTGAGTTACCGCATGCAGTCGACAAGTTACATTTGCCGCGCTCACAGTCCAGGGAAAACACCCAACTTGACTCCATTCATCTACCCTCTTTTGACTAACGTCTCCCTCCTCCTCCTCCTACACTCACTCACCCTTGCCAACACTGCCATCACCACCACCTGCCATCAGTATGTGCTCATTACTCCAGCCTAACCTCGGTATATACTCTCTGCACATACCACTTGTTCATATCCCCCTGAGGTATGCCGGGTCAGAGAGAGACTTTTTGATGACCCACATAGCTAGATTAACAAAACATAACTAGTTTGCATGTGCTAGAAATGTACTGTAGCACCCACTTGTTTCACCATTATGGATTTTGTCTAAAAAAGTGTGGTTTCTCTACTCTGTGTTTGAGTATTTATGCACCAGCAGTAAACATTGACATGAAAGGCTTTTATCCCCTCTGAAACATTAATCGGAAACATGATGGGTCTCAGAAATAATGATAATGTGGGACCCAACTGGTAATGTCCACGGGAGACATCTCCCGTCACGCAGAGTGCAGTCGCACCTCCACACATCTCCAGTATCAGCTCTTGATACTGGTAATGGCTCAAAAGGGCCACCACTTACGGGCTATTCATGCCCGTGCCACCTTTTGGGTGGCTTAATCTTCATCGATCAATGGTAACGTCTCACTACTCTGATGCCTTTTCCTCAGTGTGACACTTGCCTTCTATTGCTTGAGTAATCTTATCCACTGTAATACCTTTCAGGTTGTAACTCCAACTTGTTGACAGTTCTTATGCGAGGCAGTGTTCAAAGGCCTTATAACAGGCAAAACAAATTCACTTTGCCCCCTATCTCTCTTTTACAACCCGTCCTCGACTTAAGTCCATTACACCCAGCGGTCGACCCCACAGACGCATTAAAAAAAAAATTACATGCTGTTCATTCAAAACGGGAATTTTCTCAAATATAAATTAATATTATAATATATTAGCATATTGTGCATATATATAGGCATAGGTTAGGTGTTTAGGTTCTGTTGGCGATTATTTGTATTTGTAGTACGTGGGTGAAGCCTTTACAGCGTTGTGGTTTTGAACAAAATTCGTCAGTGACGAATGTCACAACATTCGTCATCAGTGACGTCGTCACAACAGGCACATTTGTTAGTAGCTAGGCCAAGTGTCGAGAAAGATAGATGTAGACAATAATTGCTGTTTATGTTTTAGTGACTTGTATTCCAGTTGCAACACCTTGTACAGACGAGTCTGCAGGTATGGCTGCATTCCAGTGGTTATGCTGGTTATTGGCACTAGTGGAAATATCCACTTTTCATAGTTTATGCCTATACAGCTGTAGCTATGACCTTTTTTTTTTTAAGAAGCATTGTATCCCACTTACCTGTCCTTCAGTCACTTCAATTCATATAGAATTGCATAGCTTAAATAAAGAATATGGTTGCAAGGGAGATTATTGGTTACTATGCAACTTCGAGAAAACTTAATTCTCAAGATATAAAGTGGAATTAAAATTTGTAGTGCAATTTCATTTCATGATATAAAATTCAAGTTTATTCTGAAGTGATTATACTGTAACAATAACGTTTCTTTACACTTAAATATGACTAAATGATGTTCTCATACCAGAATAAGAGTAACCTAACTTCTGTCAACAACAGGTGTGGTTCCAGAATCGTCGGATGAAGGACAAACGTCAGCGTTTGGCCCTGGCGTGGCCCTATGCTGACCCTGCCTTGGCCGCTTATTTACTACATGCTGCTGCTGCCACAGGTGCCTACCCACCATACCTCCCACCCTCTCTCACCACTGCTTCCCCATGGGCTGCTGCAGCTGCAGCGGCAGCTGCTGCCCAGGTGGGGGGAGGTCCACCCCTCGGCTATAGCGTACCTTCTCACGCACCAGCATTGACCCGTTTTGCTCCATACCCTCGCCCTCATCCAGGATTGCTCACCTCGCCCTATCTAAGACCTGGAGAACTGCGACCACACGAGGTCCCTTCAGTTCTTCCTTCTCCTTTAACACCAACACCAGTGTCGCCGCGTCCACTAGTGGGTGGTCACCTTGCTACGTGCCCACTGCGAGACTCCCCTAAGGTGGGAGGAGAGTCTTGCGTGTGTGGTTTGCTGTACCCAACTTTACCCCTCTCTCACCCACTTGCCCCTAACCTTGACCCTACACCACTAACCACATCTTCACCTACCACCACCACCACCATTACCAATCCTACACCTAGCACCCCACTTAATATTTCTGGGGGATCTCTGGGGCAAACATCACCGTCACACAAGACTAACTCCACCCCTTCACTTTTCCAACCCTACCGGGATGATCCATAAGCTACCTCACCCCACCCCTGCCACTAGATCTTTATTTTAGCACACTTAAGCAACTTGGGCATCATCTCTACCTCTCCAGTAATACCAATGTCAGGCGGTGAGGCAGAGTCGGGAGGTGGTCCACACAGTTATTTCCTGGGCATGATTTCCTCAATCGTGAACATTTACCTGACACTACAAATATGGAGTTTTTATCCGATGAATAAATGTGCAATATTTATTATGAACACCACTAGATAATTTTTTTATATATATTTACTAAAGTAAAGATGTACCTCAGGAAATGCAGAGGGAAGACTAAATTTAAGCAGTGTTATGTACATATTAATGCAACTATATATATATGAAAACTACAGCAATTACACAAGTTAACATGCATAAAATGTAAAAAAACAAAACAAAAATTACAAAATTTGAGATATGGCTGTAAATAGCCAAAACATACCAAGTCCCCATAAAAGAAAGTTATTATTTCACCAAGGTTTTCACTAATTAAGGTGGAAACCAAGGAATTTGGGGGGGCATGTGATCTTACAGAGTGCCAAGGTAGGGATAACTTAGACTATTATTGTTGGTCAGGTAATAGAACAATGCAATTGTCTAAAGCAAAATCATGCATTAAAAAAAAAAAAAAAATTGGATTCCTTCTTGATGCAACTACCGACATTCACAAGGGCGATGTGTGGTGAACAAATTTCCTTCCAAGCATTCTCCAGAAAACTGCACGTCAAGAAAATCCACAGGAGCCGTGACAAGGGTTCGGCTCCTACAGATTTTCTCACTAATGCAGTTACAGTGTGATTACTCTTGTGTACTATATTTACATTTTCTCTCTCTCTCTCCAGTTCTTTCTCCCCATCCTCATTTTCCCTCTTCTACTGCACATCCATTTTCATCTTGTCATTCTGTTCTCCAGGCCCCACTCCTCTTTCTACCAAGGTGACATTAAGATGTCTTCATGTTACTTTGATTTGCCCTGTGATATTTTTATTAGTTGTGCTAGACCCCAGGAGTGACCTTGTAACTAGAGAGACTTAGAGTACCTGCATGTTAATGATGTAGTAAATGTATAAAATAAATCCTTATGTTGTATAGCCTTGTCTTATTTACCAAACTTTACAGCAAGTAAACTGCACTGGATGTAGATTAAAAAATGCATCACTTTACTTGGTAAAAGGATGTAAAAACCTAAGGCTAAATAGCCCAAGATCAGTTAACAGTTAATAAACGAAATGGCAAAATAAATAAAATTTATAGGGAACTAATTAAAGCAAATATTAACTTTTTATAAAATCGATCCTAGCTGTTTCAAAGGGTGTAAGGAGACATTTTTGTAATGCAGTAAGGAAAGAAGCTGACCATCCTAACTTAATAAATAAAATTAAAATGCAAATAAATTTCGGTGTTAAAATAAATGAGGAAAGTCATCGAATGTGTTACATAACCGAAGTGATCAAACAGAGTGGTTGATCTTTCGTGCGACACTCATAATAATCACTACCTCCAGCCTCGGGACAATGTTTACACCTGGGGGATGCACGTGTCTTGTTCCACGGGGCGTTGCATGTACACAGCCCGTCACCCGCTGCACCTGTTGCCTTCATAAAGAGTATCATCTTGGATATTATACAGAAATACCAAGAAACTACAGACAAAGTGGAGACAAAGATCTAAGACAAAGTGGAGACAAAGATCTAAGACAAAGTTAGATCATGCGGGGAAGATTTATTTAACTTTAGCATCTTGTACAACCATGAATATTGAACTTTACAACTGCCCAATTATGATGCTATTTTATTTTGCATTTGAATGCGAGATGTGACCACTTTTTTTTTTTTTTTTTTTTTAGGTACATCGCTGCACCTCATTATTAGTAAAGATGAATTGAGAATTTAAGGCAAATATATAATCAAAAGCAACAATTTATTTTTAGATAAACACACTTAATTTTGTGCACATATTTATTACTCTTTTATAGTGAGAAATTAATAATGAATAAATTATACCACAATTTTATCAATATATTAGATTTGAATTAATAAAACCATCATGATATATATATATATCTATTAGCAGTACTTTATTATTGTTCCTTGGCAGTTATACAAGTGTTTAACAACAAACTTATGTCCTAACATGCAAATATTTTGATTATATACAATAAATAAACAAATAAAGTACTTGGACCTCTCAGTGATCATTTTAATGACATCCTTTAGGCTAAGGAACAAACCTGCTTAAACAAAATTCATATAACAGAGATTACCTTGTGTAACATGACCTAACTATGAAGCACAGCATAGTTTAATTTATTAAGTCAACAGCTAAAAAGACCCAGCACAGCACAATCATATCCTAGAACATTTCGCTGCTCAAAAATAAGACGCATCACGTTTCTTAAGCACCAACCGACTTGATCGTTGCTTTTTGCACTTTATTTACTCGGTCACCCAAACTGATGGCCATTCCCTGAAAAACAATTAATTGAAGGTATGTACTCTATTAACTGTCAAAATCAAGTTGTATTTGTACTTCAATATGTTAAACATACATAAAAGAAAAAATTCCCTTTATCTGTTCTACTTAGAGCTGCATTTTTTTTTTATAAATGTAAATTCTGACGTTATTGTACTGACGGGCCAATTTGCTTAGTTACAGCAAACGTAGCATGATGCAAATGTCAGAGTGTATTACGACAAAATAAAAATGCATGACAAAGACGAGAGATCCTCACCTGGCTCTTGGCACGGATTCTGATGTGGCCTGTGACGGGAGAATCAGGGTTGTCCAGCGGTTTCTCGATGGACAAATTAGCCAACGCATCCTCCCCAAAGATGGAATGTGCATACAGGTTGGCGGCCATGTAGTCCCCTGTGCCGCTGAGGGCCTTTTCAGGGGTGAGACACTTCATGTTGGTCGACTTGCACAGGTAATCCAAATATGCTTTTAGCTCCGTCATCTGGGTGTTAACCGTCACCTGAAACATATGCAATATAAGCAAGCAGCCAAATACTGCTTTGTTCATTAATGGTCAATGACTTTTGACCTCAATAAAGAGAGCTTTCGCTACTAAATTTATATTTTTACTGTTCGAGATTTGCTGGTGGAACTCTTGGATCCTTTCCATGAGAAAAAGTGAGCATGTTTCACGATAATAGCACGGTTGCCACCAGCTGGTTGGCATGTATTCTTTGGCATCTTATAACCATTTAGTCTGAGGTTTCGTGTTGCGCTTTTAAGATCATTTATTTTCACTTTCCTTAACAATTTTCTATGCAGCTACATAACTCCTCTTAAAAATGGCACTTCATAACCACTTCACATATCTGATCACCAAAGCCAAAAGAAAGATCATGCAAGAGTTACTCCACTTAAATGAGGTGTGATGTATTTTTTAATTTTTTATAGATGCATGAAGCACACTATTTTACATAAATATTAAAAGATACAAAAAATATCCATGTTCAATCAAAAAGAGCTACTAGAGTTACTTTATTTACATACCTTATTTTCCCACTCAAATTCCAACCACATCTGTCGGAACTCAAGGTCAGTGCAGGAGGCTGGAACAATGTAGTCCATGATGTCGACATGAATGTCATTCAAGATGACAACGTTGCGGTCACTAGTCGAACCTTTCACATCATAAACTGCATGGAAAGAATTTAAATTTAGGAAAAAGCTTTCCATGAACATTTCCATAAAAAAATAACAATTAAATGCTGATAATTAACTATTGTTAGTGCATGTTGAATACAGGATAAGAAAAAAAAAAGGCTGCCTTGCACAAGTTGAAAGGCTCTGCCAAATCTTCTAAGCATATATAAGCATATACCAGCCTATATAGCCAGTTAAAAATCGAAGTAGTTTGGTAAAGACTCGGTCCAACCACTTGGGCTAGACGGTAGAGCAACGGTCTCGCTTCATGCAGGTCAGCGTTTAATCCCCGACCGTCCAAGTGGTTGGGGCATCATTCCACCTCCACCCCCCTCGTCCCATCCCAAATCCTTATCGTGACCCCTTCCAAGTGATATATAGTTGTAATGGCTTTTCATTATTTGTGTAACAGGCACACAAATGAAAATAAACAAATGGAGCAGGAAGGGGCCTTAGAAATACTGTATAATCCAAGCTGTGAAGTACCAATACAAGGGCGAGTTATCCTTGGGGCAAAACAATGGCTACAGTAATGCTCATCCTTGTGTTATATTTATCTTGACATCTTGGCCAGCTGCCATTGGCTCCACATCCCATTTTTTTTTTTTAGTTCTTAAAACTCTGGACTTCAGGAGAAAAATATCTGGAAGCCACCCCACAAGGATTCAACTCCAGGCAGTATGAGAAAACAGAAGGATTTACAGCACTTGCATATGTGAAATAGTCGTCACCTGAAATTTATTTAGAATTACTGTACTGTACTTTGCCAAGTCAATTCTTTGTGATGAACCTTCAGTAATACTGCAAGCCCATTTTCTAGAGAAAACGTATCATTTTTAAGACAAGATTACCTATGTTGCCGAAGATAAAGCCATTTTCGGTCGAGGCCACTTTTACATTGGCTTTAATATTGCAGAAGTCGTGTGGTGCAAGTACAACTGGCTGCGGCTTCTCCACTAGCTTTAGGTCCCCGAGGGTTGCCAACTCCAAGGTGCAGTTTTGTAGTGTGTCTGCAGTCTGATTGACAATCAGTACATCCAGGACAATATCATACTGGTTGATATGTACGTACGCTTCAGCATACACAGGATCACTGAACCCTGTGAGCTGAGTTACCTGTAAAGCACAAGTACTGGTCAAAACTCACAGCTCAAAAATGGTCTTTTTATTCAATTTAACTATTAGAGGTTACATAGCATTAAAATAAGGCACCAACAACTGAAAATCAGGTTGAAATTACCACATGTATGTCAAAGTTTGCTCTAACAACCTTAATTCCATTCAACCTATGAGAGCATCGGTATCACTTACCCTAATTACAAATGTCAGATTTATCATCAAGATGTTATCTAATTTAAATTTACAGACAAAAAAAGAAGAGCACGTCTAGTTCAAGACTGGATAAATATCTTACCTTGCTCAATTTGCTGGTGCTCAGATCAATACCCTCCTTCTTGCCACCACTAACAGCCATAGACATTGAGAGGTCAAACATATCATCTGTGGAGGAGGGATCGCTGCCTTTTGTCAAATGGGTGAAAGCAATATGGTCATCCACATGCTCAATAACTTTACTGGCTTTGCGATCACGCCTCAGTGTTTCTTCCTCTTCTGCCTTTGCAGTTAGCATATGGGACAGAGCTGACCGGCACTGCTCCGTGAACACGCATGCCAAACTTGGGGTACGTTCTGACACGACCTGTGAACATTTTTTTTCTTTTTTAGTACAGTAATCTTGTATAGCAAGTTGCCAAAATCATCTGATTTAATCAGAGTTGCTAAAGGCCAAAAAGTAACATTAATGGCAACATGATACCAATCTTAATATAACTGCAACCATATATATTAATTCCCTAACTGCCTAACATTAAATTGTAAACGCTATCCTACGTAACAGCCACTGTCATATTTACAAGTTCTACACTTAACTTGACCTTAACCTAAGCTTTCCAAATTATTAACTAAAGCCAGGGTTTTGTTATTACAGTAATTTAGAATCCAAGTAGAGATCTCATTTGAAATATCTGCAAAATTTCTTACATTTTCTTTAAAATATCAGATGTTTCATATAACACCCCAGTAGTTCAGAAGTTTCCTTAGAACATTGTTAAAATCATCTTCAAACAGAGGTAATGTCACACAGACTGACAAAACATTCCAAAATGATCATTCCTGAATTTTGGCCTCCCAACCTATCGTTCATGAATTTTGTAATCTGCCTATCGGAAGTACATAACTAGTGATACTTTAAGTCGTGCTACAAAAGCCCATTAAGCACAAAAATTTAGACTATCAAAACAAAGTTGGCACAATGAACGAGTGGCAAGTAGACGGCTGCAAGAAAATTGGCATACCCCAGTCTCCGCACAGTTTCGAGAGATTGGTGTGGCATGGACATCAAAAACAGAGATAAAGAGGTAGAAATAGACAATGCGAGATGCAGTTGGACAAAAAAGAATGAACAAATATTGTGCAAAGATGCCGAGTACCCAAGACGTAAATCTTAGACATTGATATTTTATACATGGTTTGGTCATGCTGAACAACAGGAAACCATAAGCAGCAGCATGATAATTTATGTATTACTGTATTTGCCTGCATATAAGATGCCCTTTTTTTTATTTGTAAATGTATCTAAAAAGTGCCCTGCGTCTAATGCGGCCACATTACGGACGGGAGACGAGTGCCATAGGGTAGGGAGCCAGACGAGCGTACTGGGCAAGTTTGTTAGATGCAAAAATCGTTCCCAATAATAAAATATTGAAAACAAACCAAATTATTACAGTAAATTGTGTTACTAATAATACAATATTGAAAGCAAGCCAAGGCATCACAATCTGTTATCACAAACTTATGATATGTCGGCAGTTATGAAGGAAATTCACATCTCGCCACCTCACCCAGCATATACAACCCACACCTGATATACTGTATGTCAAACATTATTTAACGACAATGTTACCTTATAAGACATTTATTCATTATCTAAGTGAAAATGGTCCCAAGAATTTGAAAGGAATGTTCAACTTTCTTCCGCCTGTCAGCCATTTGCAATGCATAAATGACACTACCACCAGAGCGCTATGATGGTGTGCCACCCTGGTGGCCTGATGCGGCAACAAAACATCACATCCAAAAATACAAGTTTCACATCCTGTATAGCAATTCTCTTGCCCAAAATATAAACTACACAGCTGATCTTAGAGGAGGTAAGAGCTGTGGTACAAAATCCACTTTAAAATATCTTTCAATAAATGTATGATGAAACGTACTAAGATAGTTCTTTCCCACAAAATATGCTTGTAAAATAGGGGTGCGTCCTATGCGAGGGTGCGTCTTTTAAGTTGGCAAATACGGTATATTAAAATTTTTGTGTATACAAGTTTACAAGACACAATGCAACTCCTTTATTAAATGAAAACCAAAAATACAATACAACCGTTAAATAATACTCGGTTCTCATTCAAAGAATTAATAATACAAATACAAAGTTGACTTGGTACAACACTAACCTGAAGGCACAGCATCATGCGATCATAATCATCATCAGTCATGGATTTTTGTGGTAAACCAGACTTGCCTAAGTGCACAATAGAGGAGATGACAAGCATCACTTCAGCACAGAAGGCATTCTGTTTGGAGGCATCACCTTCCAGACAAGTGTGCCTATTAAAGGGGTACAACAAAACAAATATTGAATCACATGAAAAATGTGAAATATTGAATATCGATTCACTACAGTATTTGGTTAATATATTATAACAATTTGGGTACAAAAGATGTCAGCAGCAATAAATTTCCAGACAACTGTATATACACCGAGATGAAATAATTACACAAGTGCACAATAATTACACTTTTACTACCTGAAAGCCAACTTAACAAGGGTGTTGGCAATTACAGCTCCAAGGTAGAAGTTGCCCTCCAGGAGATATTTCCTCAGTGGCGGCCGATCATCTGCCTTTCTAGATGACCTGTCCAATGAGAATTCCAAACCGTAGTTTCAATGCATACATCCTTACTACATATTTTAACAGAACAAATGTTAAAATTAATACTTGCTCTATCCAAATGTCTTGTTTAAAAAACAATATAGAACAAAACTCTGACTTTACTGACCTTATTAAGTACAATATAATCAAAACTTTTATTCAGTATAAAACTAAGAGGGATGCTTGATAATGTGGAACAATCTCCTTATAGAAATGGACTTTGCACTTACGTAGTTGTTGAGAAGGCAGACTGGGAGGCGTAAGTACCATCAGCTGTCACCTTCTGCTGTTGCTGCTGATGCTGGCTGCTCTTGTCTACAGAGCCGTCCTCTTCCCCAGGCTCACCAGCAGCCCTACGCACCTCGTCCTCCACAATGGGAAGTTCCCCTAGGCTTCCCCGCACAGCCGACACTACGCCCAAAACCTCCCCTATTACAAAACACAAATATTATTTAGACATTTAATTTTCACACATTGTTGGGAAAGCTGAAATGAGTGACATCTGCTGTATCGAGTCACATGCAGAAAAGTTTCAATGTAGGCCAGAAAAAATGTCAAGTGGACAATTTGCCAGAAGGTATGGAAGAGTGGTACAGTATTGTGCCAGAGGACTGGAGACAAAAGAGAGAGAAAGAGAAAAAAAAAAAAGAGGGCTGTGATTGTATCGCTATAAAATAAGATGGATGTAGTGGATACGAATTATATAGGCATTAACTTTATTAATAGTGAGTAAAGTATAAAACACAGCAGGATAGTAATGAGAAAAGTACAGGAAATTATTAAAAAAAAAAAACTAGTTCCTTGGTGGAAGAGTGAGAGTGCAATTTAGATACAGTACTGTATATGCATTGAGACAGCGTGTAGAGAAAGCATACAAGAAAGACTGCAAAATATATACAGAAAATATCTCTTATCTTGACATAGGTAAGAATTAATGATACAAGGAGTGACTGGTTTTACGTCACTGCACTGTATGTACATGCCAGAGATGTGCGATATCATGAGGGAAATCATGATAAGAACACAAAGTTTGAAAGGCAGAAACCTAGTATGATTCATAGGACTAAAATAAACTAATAAAATGTCAAATGTTACGTATGCAGATGACATTTCTTTTAACAGTGTGACAGATTGATGTAGATAGTTTTATTGATGTGTTTGAGAAGACAGCGTGAATGTTAGTAAAATTACGGTAGTGAAGAGAGAAGAAAACTTTAGAAATTAAATGCAAAAAAGTAAAGTTCTAGTTGTTGATCAGTTTAAACACCTAGGATATGCGACTGATAAACAAGGAATTTGTGCAAGTGAGCCAAGATCAAAAGCTTGTTTTGTAATAGCAAGCGAGAATGATAATGGCAGCGAGACATTTTACGATTGAAGAAATAATGTGTGGTCGAAAATATTCCCCAATCATTCTTGTACTGGTACTACTATAACTAACCTGCCTTTGTCTGCGTCTTCAATCTCTCTTGACCACACGAGAGATCTTACAAGTCATACTCGTCTAATCTTCGAGTCATCAGAGAATGCAATTCTCCCAACCACTGAGATGGAGTTCCAAGAATAGCAATTTTTTTTTTTTTGCATTTTCCTAGTACAGTACTTTATTCACGCAACTTTAATGCTTCATTCTTACCCCATCTCGACAACATGTTTAATCTCAATAACACTGTCAATGTAGCTTACCTGTAGTTGAGGCGTACTCTCCTAGAATCCATAGGGTGTGACACTGTACAGTCACAGAACAAATTGTTGGCAGAGCCGATAGTAAGCGTTCAATAATCTGTGAACGTAGAATCTGCAACAAAAACATACAAGAACTCGTGAAATACTATAACAGGGCAAGTTAAAACAAAATTTTAACTGACACTGAAATTAGTAAAAACCACAAAAAAGATGTCATACAAATTATATTCTAAAATATTTCTATATGCCATTTACCTTCTGAAATAACACCGAGTGTGAGTGTGTGTGTTCAACACACACAATTCGGTAAGCTCAATCACCGCAAGTACACCCAAGTCTTTCTTGATTTATACAAATTTGCCAAACCACTTGGGTTGGATGGTAGAGCGATGACCTCGCTTCATGCAGGCCGGCAATCACTCTCCGACCGTCCAAGCGGTTGGGCACCATTCCTTCCCCCATCCCGTACCAAATCCTTATCCCTTCCAAGTGCCATATAGTCGTAATGGTTTGGCACTTTCTCCTGACAGTTCTCTTCCCTTCCCCTTGTCATGAACAAGAATGACTGGAGTGGTACAAATTCATCACTGTCAAACTTCCCTTTCTAGCTTCTGCACCCTATCAGTCATAGGAAGGGAAGCAGCTGTGTGTTTATTTGGGAGTGTTGAATTGTGGATGGAAAAATAAGTGTGAATAAAGTCGAAGAGTGAGAGCCAGTTTGGGAAAGTCATTATATAAAGGTTCCAGGGTATTCATATGAGTAACTATCACTATTTTTTTTTTGTTTACATTTACCACACATTCTATATAAATATTATATTTGAGATTATTACCACTCACCACTTCCGTGAGGTTGGCCAGTATTATGTTCAAGACATTAAAAGCACTCATTCACCATATGATGCCCTATACAGCCACGTGAAGAAACTAGTACCACCATACTCCAGCAAATTATCTATAGCAGCACACTACTTCATTATACTAAGTGCATAGTACTTTTGGGGCATTGTCGTAGAGAGAAAAAAAAAATTGCCCTCGCAAACTGCCCCATATATACATTCCTTGTTACCTCCTGTGTGCTGTCCACACTCAATTTTGCCTTGTCACATGCACTCACATCAGCTATGATCTTCACAGTAACTGATTACAAAAAACACTCACTAAAACCATTCAAAACTAACTAACTCTTTCTACTTACCTCAAATCTCTGAATTGCTTCCCTAACAAAGACCAGAACATCAGTGGCAGCAAGTTCATTGTTGTCCGAGAGGAAATCCATCAGGATGGGAATGACATTGGCAGCCACTTCTGGGAATTTCATGCTAATCGTGTGCAAGGTGCGCACAAGAAGCTGCCGGTACCTAGCGAATAAAATTGATATGATACAGTACTCTTATAAATATATATGGTTTGAAATAAATCATACTGGGTAAATTGGAAAACACTGGTAAAGTGCGCAATGTTAAGCTAGCTTTGAGTGGAGCAGAATAATAAGTTTCTGTATCTAGAATCTAAAGTTCACAATGGGCTCAGCCTGACCATTTCAGATTTTGAAAACTGGAATGCTAGTAGTGTGATTTACCAAAGAGGATCACAACACCATAACGCAAAAACACTAGGATGACAATTGGTCATCCTAATCCCGAGTAAGAAACTACAAAAAATCTAAGTTAAAATAAGAGGTCAATATGATTAAAAATTTAAAAAATGATTAGAAAATCAATTTCACCAGATTTACTTTTTTATATACCAACTAAGAATAATGGATTATACAGCTATAAATTCTAATAATTCAATGTATTACTTCATAACAGTAATGCATATAAAGTTGGTTCTTATTGAAAAAATTTCTTAAAAACTTCAGCCCCTTAAATGACCCAAAACACTCACCCCTCACTCAAATGCACACTATTAAATGAAGGTTCTCCTGTAAAATACAACTTTGGTCATGTCTATGAAAATAAACCATCACCTGTTGCTCTCTCTCTCATTATTCAGTTTATATACCACATTTTTACACTACACTTCATTTTCCAAGAATGTAAACACTTACAGTGTCTTTCCATGTAACTCTACATTCTCTGACAACTACCGGGTACATAAAAGTGTTAAATGAAATGAAATGCCTCTTTCTGGTGAGGTTTCTTCCGTGGCTCCCTGTTGCTACAGGGAATACCCAAGGGGGGGGGGGAACCAAGCCAGAAAATCCCACAAGAACAGCCTAAAACTTTAACATACTCAAATTGCTTTCACACCCATTTTAAAGAGAGTTGAAGAAAGTGTGCACTCACTTCCCAGTGTCTTCATGCTCAACAGTGTTGTGTGTCTTGCCCACTTCCTTCTTCAGCACCTCGACCATTTCATTCACTGATCGCAGCGTCACTAATTCCAAGGCTGTGGAACATCATTTGAAAAAATTATAAAATATATTTATAAATAGAAAATTTGTAAGTATAATAAGTATGTATGTGCATCATACAAGACATACTTAAATAATATTTTGACAAGTATGAGAGTGGCTAAATAAGTCTGGTAGTACTAATAGAAAGGTGGTAACATTTATAAACATTTATGTGCAATGTCCTTTCACTGAAGTCAATAGCTGAAAATGTACAAAAAATATTTAAGCTGCTGTCATGTTTTCTCATAATATAATAACTTTGAAATGTGAAGCCTTTTCCATTGGGAAAAGCCAACTTCTATTGCTTATAGTATATATATATATATATATATATTTTTTTTTGTTTATGAGAATCAAATTTTTTGGCCATTTCAGTCCATAAATTCTAAACATGAATTTGTTTCAAATCTCAGCAAATGTCTTCAATTTCAGTATAGACACCAGGAGCCAGATTCACGAAGCAGTTACGCAAGTACTTACGAACGTGTACATCTTTCCTCAATCTTTGACGGCTTTGGTTACATTTATTAAACAGTTTACAAGCATGAAAACTTCCCTATCAACTTTTGTTATTGTTATAAACAGCCTCCTGGAGCTTTGGAGCTCATTAACCGTTTAATAATTGTAAACAAAGCCGTCAAAGATTGAGAAAAGCTGTGCAAGTTCGCAAGTGCTTACGGAGCTGCTTCATGAATCTGACTTCAGAGTGCTGTCTTTAAAACTGCAAGTGTCCTCCTGCAAATCTAATTAAAACTTTAAGTGAATAAAGTATCTTAAATATTAAGAACATAGCAAAACTCTTAACTGCATAAAAATATATGCATGGTTTGCAACCACTGTTTGCAAGCCTTCCAAGAGGCCATCTTACCGCAAGTAGATTCTAATCAGAGGGCCCAATGACAAACAAAATTCTAATGGCCAACTAAATTCTGTTAGCCTACTGGAGAAACTATAGGAGTCCTGAATTACTCCTAACAGCAATTTGACTAAATGCAGTTAACTTATGGTATGGAATATCCAGCAATCAAGAATTTTGCAAGCACGTTAAAGCAGATAAATGATCCCAACTCCAGACCACTTAAAACACTCGCCCATCCCTTTACTGGGCCCATTAGAATAATAAACACAGGCTACTTCAGTGTCTATGCATATAGGCCAATTTTTGTATTATTGTTTTATATAATGCAACTAATTTATGTCCAATAAATTGTAAATTGTAAGAGTCGGCTAACAGTCATTTGCCATGACATAATATGCCAAATAAATTACTAAAACAGTGGATAATTAACTTGAGTAATATACAATTTGACATAAATGAAAATGCCAAACCAAGTTCTCAAATATTTCAACCATATACAGCTAATGTAAAAAACAACAGTGCATAATCAGGGGGCCAGATTCACAAAGCAGTTATGCAAGTAGTTACGAACGTGTACATCTTTCCTCAATCTGATGGCTTTGGTTACATTTATTAAACAGTTTAAAAGCCTGAAAACTTGCCAATCAACTGTTGTTATTGTTATAAACAGCCTCCAGGTGCTTCGGAGCTCATTAACTGTTTAATAATTGTAAACAAAGCCACCAAAGATTGAGAAAAGATGTACAGGTTCGTAAGTGTTTGCGTAACTTCGTAAATCTAGCCCCAGACTACTGTTCCTACATAACAGGAACAGTAGTGTGAATAATAGATTTGCAGTATACCAGTACTGTACATTAAATTTTTCTAAGAGGGATCATGAAATAGTGCAGAAATTACGTGTTAAACAACTTAGCAGTAGCAGTGGAATATTTTTAGAAGATGTAGCAAATACTGTTCACAAGAACAGTTAAAAGGCTGAAAATGAGATTCTACCATCTTACCCAAATTTAAAGTTTTCTTCCGAACTTCCAAATCGGGCGTGGAAAGAATCCTCAAAACATCCATGGCCAGCTCCTGTAATATTTTCTCTTGCATTGGAGAATCCTTTAGTGCTACCAACCGATCCAGGACAATTAGCTTCACATTATTGTCACTCTCTTTAACAATGAGCTCAATGTAACAGTTAGCTGCAGCCTGAAAAACAAAAATAATTAACATATAATCAATAGAAAATAAAATGTAGACTTAACAGAACAAATACCAGCATGTTACATATTATGGCTCTTCTTGAGAGCAAGGTCAGAATACTGTACTGACAAGGCACCAGTAGAATTACTTGCCTATGAAAAACCTCACCACATGGGAAGTAAAGCCTTCCTTCAGTGGTAGCGCTCTTCCAGCACACTTTCACTTACAATTAGTAACAAGATGACCAAACCACACACCAGAAGATGAAGAAAAGACAACGTTTCGGTCAGTCCTGAACCATTATCAAGTCGTATGTGATGGGAGAGGGACTGATTTATTGATTGATGAATATTAAGCTACCCAAGAGGTGGCACAGACATGAGTAGCCAGTAAGTGGTAGATGTTTGAGTGTGATATTTAGCCGTGAAAGGATATATAATGTGCTGAGCGTGCATTTAATATACAGACTTCACTAATAATGTGATAAGAATGGTACTAGATTCCCCAGCTGAAACAACCCAGTAGGCTGATAAGTCAATGTCATCTCACCTTAATGGCAGTAGGAGCAGACGAGAGGGTAACCAGAGTTCCAGCGGCTTCATAACGCACTGCAGGACTGTTGGAGTTAAGAAGATTGTAAATGCATCTGATGAAACGAGCTCTTTCTCCTGGATTTGCATGGCACACCTGCAAATAAAGAAAAAAGTTAAAACTGACCAAATAGTACTTACCAGTGTTAAATAAAAGCAAGCACCATAAAAAAAGTGAAATGGTTCTGAAGTAAATGAATAATCAAGCGGTCAAAATATCCATACCACACAGTCGTTCTCATTTCCAATATTCAATGCAGGTAGCAAATACTTGTGAAACCATTCATTAACCATTCAGTAAGCGGAATCTATCAGAATACATAAACTAATATACATCATGGGTGTTTTGAAAAACAAGGGGGGGATGAAAATATAGCAAAACTTGCCTTATAAATGAGTTCAACAATAACTAGCTGCAGAATATCACCAAAGGAGTTAACTTGATCAATGCACGTGGACAAATACGTAAGAGCGCGCTCCTGGTCAGCATGTATCAACATCATGAACGCATTCCTCTTGCATGACATGTCTTGCTCCCCCTCCAGGAAGTTGGAGATGAGTTCAGGGGCATCAGGGATCAAAAAATCAAAGTTCCTGATAAACAAAGACAAGACTCATCTAAGCAACAAATACAAAATTCATAAAGCAAACAAATGCAATTATGCATTAAAATACAATTCATTATTTATTAACAATTGTGCCAAATATTATAGGTCCCCAGTTTAAAAAAATTTGTATTAAAATATAATACTGTACAGTATGTTATGGGCGACTTGGATGGTAAAGTGGGAATGGGCTCTGAGAATAATGTGATTGGCATACATGGCGTACCAGAGTAAAGGACTTTGGGTGTAGGTTAAAAAATTTGTTAAAAGAAAATTATGCACTGTATCACTAATACATATTTGAAACAAGATGGCAGGAAGCTCTTGATTTGCATGGGGTAACTTTTTTTTTTAAATGTCTAAATAAAAATGGCACAAAATAAAGTTTTAAAATGTACAATAAAATTTTATGTACAATTTTAAAAAATAAAAATGTACAGGGTATATGTGAAAAAATTTATCGTCTCTGAAAACAACTTTATTATATAAAATACCCATTTAAACATCAATATCTAATTCTCCCTCCATTTTCCTGGCACAAGCACAGCACACAAAGTCTAGACTATTTGTGATGTGCAATAATGAAAATATATAATCCAAAAAGTTTTTGAAAGCAAGAATAAGGCAGGTCTGGAAGCTCAACACTTCCAAGAACTAGGCAAAACCATGGATTACTGTGGATTATTTAAGATGATCTGTGATAAACCTGTGTACCATCAAAATTCACCTGCTGCACTTCTGAATCTGGATATGTAGTACTTAACCCTGTACCACTGAATTCACATTCTCTACAACCGGGCAAATCAAGGGACTAGTGTAAGGAAGTAAATGTGTTAAGTTATGAGAAGGCAGAAAAGAGTAATTAATTGTGTACTCTATTTAGGTAGAACCATAGCAGTCACCTCAAGTTACCAGTTACTGTAACACTGGACATGGCAATGTTTACTGCATATGACTTACTTGTATATAGTGAAAATAGCAAGAACAGCATTTCTGCGGACATAAGAGTGTCTGTGTTCAAGACAAGTGCGGATAGTGGGCATCAGTGGTTCAAGCAGCTCTGGCTCTTTTAGTTTGCAGAGAAACCTCAATGTAGACCCTCTGATGAATTCATTGGGGTGGGAAAGATCCTGAAATAAATAAGAATCAGGTATTATATGCTGCAGATTTTTAATAAAAGGTATAGAAAGATCCTCCATTGAAACCATTCATTAAGACTGTCAAGAAGAAATGCTCCAGCTAATTAAGTTTCCTGTAAGCAGAAACACTTTGGTGGCTTTCTACCAGCACTAGACTAATAAATTAGTCTTAATTTATTGGTCTAGATCTATAGTCTATATCTAGACTAATAAACTTCTAGATATCGTTTATTACTGTATACACCAGTATATATAAATATAATGCCCATGTACCAGAGAGTTTGTTTCCTATTCCAATTATAAAATACTCTTACATCATCCCTATACAGTAGTTTGAATTACAAGCAAATATATATAGATGTATATTACCTTCCTGTAAGCATCACAAACAAGAATCATTTCCTGTAAGAGCTTGCCATCTGATGTCGTCTTGGGGACAATTTCCCAGAAGACTAACAGCAACTTCTTAATGGTGTGATCCTCAAGTGGCATAACAAAACGTATTACTGTCATCAAAATTCCCGGAAGACGTTCCCCATTCAAGATAAGTTGGATTACTTTTTTCAGAGCTGAAGTCTTCACAGGTATATCACCATTTTCTGGAAGATGGAATTAGTTTTGCATGAAGATTTAAATATAATACTAATCAAATCTATATTTCCTGTAAGATAGCAATGTGTCTTTGAATACTGTACATCATCAGTCAAATACAAGTAGCTTATATGAATTAATCCTTGGCATAAACAATCAATCACAAAAGGTGAAATGCATTAATGAAGCACAAATAAATTTTCAGTTGTTGATAAAAAAATTTTGTTTACCCAAGTCCTGTTTTAACTGCATTTCTGAGGGCTGCTCTGTGTCAGCTGGCCCTTGTATTAGGGTGTAGCATGGTTGCTCCTGGCTCCCCATGGCTGGTGTCTGGGCTACGTCTCGTCCTACCAGAAAAGAAAAACAATTGCAGATCATTTTGTTATCCACCTATAGTACAGTATATAATACATCAAAGCAATTCTCAAAGTGCACGTCAAAAAAAAAGAAAGGATTCAATTATGGGTCTCTTGTTGAAATAATAAAAAAATATGGTTTAAATAGCATAAACAAAACTTATAACAAATATGGTCAAGTTATCAGTCATTGGCCACTTGAGCTATTTTTTATTATTCTAAATAGAATTTATAATACATTTATCAACACTTTGGAAAAATCCACGGAATGATAGGAATTGAAAGAAAAGTTTTCCCCATAAAATGACACCGAGACAGCTGTAGATACAATATTTATCAAAATATGAACCAAAATATGTTCAGACCGAACTTTCTGGCTAGTCCAAGAGATCAGTACTAGTGGTTAGCTATGTACAGGATTGTAGTTATATCACTCCCTTTAAAAGTTTATCCAGCTTAAACATGTACATTATATGAAAATAATACTTTCATTGCCATAATATTGCCGAACTTTAGCCTTCAAATTACAGAATTTTTCCCCTAATTTTCAGGACGATGAACCACCTTTTCGGACACAACAGGTTATTCATTCAATCTCGGTCCCAAGGCATCTGTTAGGCACGAGGCCCTCTAAATTTGCACATGTAAAACAAATGTGAAGTGTGGTTAACAACTGGTGATTTAACTACAAATAAAATATTCAACAACAAATAAAGTTTGAAAGTTGACACTATCAATTTGATAAATGATTTTAAGCATACACATTTAATTACTGCATTTACTATACTGTATTGTTCTGTACTTTAATTTCAAAAATTCGACAAACTAACCTGTAACAAACTAAAACTAACAATACTGGTGACAATGATGAATTCTTCCTGGTGTGAAATCGAGTTCTTCAAACTTACACACGGTGAGGAACGTTGGAACCATTGTGAAAGATGTAAAGAATAACCAAGACCAAGCATTAGTTTTATTTTCACAACTCAAACTAAGCCAAGTTTAGTTATTAGAATAGGTTCAAGGCAGTTAGGACAGGTGACTTATGAAGCAATAATTTATTATTCAACTACACAAGCAGTATTCATTGGGCTAAAAGATTTATCAAATGCAACCTTTCACAATGCAAAATATTGTCTTCTATTGCAAGGGAAGAAAAAAATGACAGCTGCAATCCAGTCAACTGTGCTCCACTTAACCTAACATAATAAAATACAATAGCCTCAAATTTACAACTAAAAGAATGTATTTAGTACGAGACACCTATTAAATTATCAATCCGACATCCGAAAACATGTGTATTATTTATGCACGCAATGTGATACTACATTCGCACCTGTTACAAAACTTTGTAGTAGTTTATCAAGTACGGTTAGGCCATGTTGTGATTCATATAGGTTTCGGGGCCCAAGCTGAAAATAGTGACTTGACCTGAAACTGCCAACACACCCGCGGCCAACTCACCACCATCAGCTGGCAAACCCACACATCCGATTTACTGATATTCCACGCACAAAACAAGGCTCAGGATCTATTTATTAGAAGACTTGACACACTAATGCTTTTGGTTATATGGTTCCCCTGCATCATATCGTGAATTAAGACATAACTGACCTCAACCAGTTGATATTTCTCGCAATAACACACTGCAACCCACACTCTCCTGGCCGTCACTAAACGTCAACAACAACCAGTGTACTTGTGAAGTATTATGGTATAATTTTATACTCATATCTCTTTAGTAGATATTATTATTTCTAAATGCAAAATTAGTCATATAATTTATTATTATATAACATTTGTGTTTGATTTGAGATTGTACTCTTAATTCTAAATATATAATTTTCAATATCTTTAGGTAACACACATTCTCGACGTGGCAAAGAGATTTTAGTCAAGAGTAGAAAGAACATCAAAAAGGGTTAGAGTCTTTTTCGGTCAATGCCAGATATCGCAATATTTTCTTTTGAAAATTACATTAAATTTACCCGAGGGCCACTAACACTCAAGTGACCTCGACGAGGACAAGAAGCCGGCAGGTTGTCAAAGATCCCCCTATTTGTCCAGATAATTTTTCCAGCTGGATTTTAAGATTTTAAAATTTAATAGTGTTGGCATCTACGACTTCGGCGGGTAGGCAGTTCAATTTATTTATTTTATTTATTTATACAAGAGTTCTTACAGTCTTATACAGACACTAGCACGCATAACAGCTACAGTTAAGGATTGACGCCCAGTAAATCCTCCCCAGCCAGGATACGAACCTAAGCCAGAGCGTTCGCGGAAAGCCAGGCGAATGTCTTACCACTATATTACGAGGACTAAGTAATTTTCAATTGGTTTATAACCTTATGGGTGAAAAAGCATCTCCTGCTTTCAGTCCTACACTGTGGCTTGAAGAGTTTGAAACAGTTTCTCCTTGTCTGTGTCCCATGTGACCTTTTGATGAAGTTGTCTAGATCAACATCCTCCAAATTGTTCAGTATTTAGAACGTTTCGATGAGATCGGCCCTGTCATGCCTGGTTTGCAATGTAATTAGCCCTGTGGCCCCTCAACCTGTTATGGTATGAGAGTTGACTTAGTTCTGGAATGATTTATGTTGTTCGGTGTTGAACTTTCTCCAATGAAGCAATGACTTTCTGAAGCTGATGCCTGGATGCAATGGTGGGGGCGCACCAGAATAACTCCCTTCTTGTTCTTAAAAGTCAAAGGTACGCTTGATTATTCCTATAGGGTTTGGTTAGCTTTTTTTTTTTACCACCGCTCCCATTTGTTGGGCAACTTTCAGTGAAGGATGGATCCTGACTCTAAGGTCCTTTTCTTTATTTTCTTTTGCAGGGATATTCCTGTGCGGGCCTCTGGTTGGCCCACTAAGTGTTGATGATGATGATGACGATGAAGATTAAGCCACCCAAAAGGTGGCACGGGCATAAATAGCCCGTAAGTGGTGGCCCTTTTGAGCCATTACCAGTATCAAGAGCTGAAACTGGAGATCTGTGGAGGCGCGACTGCACCCTGCGTGTGAATAGAACTGATCACTAAGTGTTGTTTGTTTCTGCTTTATATGGGCGGAGTGTGAGTATTTATGACTCGTATGGTCGCTTCAGTAAGATTTTGTCCCATGTGTTTAACAACTTCTGCTCTTTTGAATCTGAGTTGAAATTTTATTGGGTTTGTAACTGTGCACTGTGTTAGATCATTTGACCTAGAAGGTGAAGGGACCACACACTAGAAGGTGAAGGGACGACGACGTTTCGGTCCGTCCTGGACTATTTTCAAGTCGACAATCGACTTGAGAATGGTCCAGGACGGACCGAAACGTCGTCGTCCCTTCACCTTCTAGTGTGTGGTCTGGTCAACTTACTTTAGCCACGTTATTGTGACTCATCGCTTGCATGTGTTAGATAATGTTCCAGTGGTCACTATACATCTTTTGCATTGCTCTGTTTCTAATTATTTTCTCAATCTGTGAGATGTAAATGTCTACATTTCTTCTCTTAGTTACCAGTTTTGCAGCTTTGTCTGCAAAGTCATTTCCTATTATTCCCACATAACTTGGCACCCAGTTTTTTTTTTTTTTTTTTTTTTTTTTTTTTTTTTTTTTTTTTTTTTTTTTTTTTTTTTTTTAGCAGGGATAATCCTGCGCGGGCCCTAAGCCTCTGGCTGGCCCACTAAGTGATGCTCGTTTCTGGTTTACCTGGGCGGAGGATGAGTATGTATGACCCGTGTGGTCGCTTCAGTAAGATTTTGCCATATGTGTTTAACAACTTCCTCTGCTCTGTCGAATCGAAGGTGAAATCTTAACGGGTTTGTAACTGTGCACTGTGTTAGATAATGTTCCAGTGGTCTGTCGGGCATTTCTCCACAGTGTTGACATTTCCTCTCACCTTCCGGAACCCGTAAGCCTATTTCCCATGCACAAGGGTATCCAAGCCTGATGCGATGTAAGTGCACTTCTGTTGTTCTACTGCTCCCTTTCATCAAACTAAGTGGTTCGTAGTTGGTGGAATTCTTGTACCAACCCGCAGATCCTGATGTTGCAACTGCTGCGTCGTGGTCACTGTACAGCCTTCGCATTGCTCTGTTTCGAATCACTTTCTTCATCTGGGAGAGACTCGGTGGTATGGAAATGTCTACATTCCTCCTCTTAGTAGCAAGTTTTGCAGCTTCGTCTGCAATGTCATTACCTAATAGTCCCACATGACTTGGCACCCAGTTGATAAGCACCCGTCGGCCCTGCCGGTGGAGTGTGTGCATGAATGATAAGACATTGGTGATCAGATGGATGTTATCACATATGTGTTCCTGTTGCAAGGTTTCAATGGCGGTTCTCGAATCTGTATGGACGATAACATGTTGGCGGTGGCACCCAGTTGATAAGTACCCGACGGCCTTGACGTACCCGACGGCCTTGACGTACCCGACGGCCTTGACGTTTGAGTGTTTGCATTAATTATATAACATTTGTGATGAGATGGATGTTATCACGTATGTGTTCTTGTTGCAAGGTTTCAATGGCACTTCTCGAATCTGTACTCACCTAATTGTGTTTGCTGGGGTTGAGCTCTGGCTCTTTGGTCCCGCCTCTCAACTGTCAATCAATAGGTGTACGATTCCTGAGCCTATTGGGCTCTATCATATCTACACTTGAAGCTGTGTATGGAGTCAGCCTCCACCACATCACTTCCTAATGCATTCCATTTGTCTACTATACTCTGACACTGAAAAAAATTCTTTCTAACGTCTCTATGGCTCATTTGGGCACTCAATTTCCACCTGTGTCCCCTATTGCGTACCCGACTCTGTAAAGTTGAACACCCATTTGTGAGAGTCTGCAACTATTTACAGAGTTTCCTGCTTTAACTGCAGCTCCGGTTTCTTGTCCCCTGCTGGTTTTTCTTCATCAATCTTTTTGATTACAAGGTAATGTTGTTAATCTTTGGATTTTGCAAGGTAATGTTGTTAATCTTTGGATTTTGCAAGGTAATGTTGTTAATCTTTGGATTTTGCAAGGTAATGTTGTTAATCTTTGGATTTTGCAAGGTAATGTTGTTAATTTGTGGTTGTGACGTGGATTGTTATGCCCCACACGCAAGGTCTTAATAATATCGAACTCATGCAAGGTCATTTATCGATATTAACTCCAGAAATAGTTGTGGAGTTCATGTAGATCTCTATGTTAGGCCTCAATATAATTTTCACTTTTCTTTATCATAATTATGAAAGGAGGGAAAAATGTTGGCGTGCGGTATTCATAATAAATGTAAGTTACTTTGTCGTCAGAAGGTATTTAGCGTCGAATTGACGCACAGTGGTCTACGTCCTTTGCTCATAACCGAGGAATCCGGGGTTCAATCCCTGGGCAATGCAAAAACGGTTGGGCACGTTTCCTTTCACCTAATGCTACTGTTGACATTGCAGTAAAATAAGTCACCGGGAGTTAGACAACTGTTGCAGGATGCATCCTGATTGATAGATTGATAAAGATTAAGCCACCCAAGAGGTGGCACGGGCATGAATAGCCCGTAAAAAGGAAAAGGATGTTATTGTTGTTATAGATTCAGCTACTCGAAACAAGTTCCAAGTAGCACGGGCTATGGAGAGCCCGTAGTGGACTTACCTGGTACAGGAGCGGTTGCATCCTGATGGGAGGTCAGTTTATATTTGCGGTTGAAGGGCCGCAGTCCTTTACGGGCTATTCATGCCCGTGCCACCTCTTGGGTGGCTTAATCTTTATCAATCAATCAATCCTCAGTCCTAACATCACTGCAAACCAGACATGAAAGGTCTGAACATCCCATATTCGTCCTGTGAACGGTAGTTTATTGTGCACCCCCATGTACAGCCTGTGAGCCATAGCGCAAAAACGATTAGAGCACTAAGAGTCTTAATCGAACTACTCCCCCCCACCCTATCCCTCCCAAGTAACTGTTCTGACACCATTTCTATATACACATATGTGCTTTCTCTATCTGGGAACTCTCTTCCCATCACCCACTTTTTAGACATTTGTTGGATCGCCCAATAATTTATTCAATATTATAATTTTTACTTAGAAAACGAGCTTGATATGGACATGGACCCTATATCCCGCTCTAGGAGACTTCCGCGTGAGGGATTCTATATATTTATTCTCATTAAAATGTCATCACAAAGGCGAAAATTATCAGTTTTTATTATATTTAAATTAAAAAGTTATTATCGCTACAATTGGCAGAGCTGAGTTATGTTCGCTCTCACTCTAACTGTGGCTCTCACCTGTTACAGGGGAAATGTTCTTGAGGTAAATAATACACATCTGCAACTTAATTAAATGGAGTTTATTTGTGCAAATATTACAAATGCTCTGAGTAAGAATCCACAGGTGTGGTGAGAAAGGTACAGTCACAGCTCTCTTGGAGTCTTATTGACAGTGTCTATGAGAGAGAGAGAGAGAAAGAGAGAGAGAGAGAGAGAGAGAGAGAGAGAGAGAGAGAGAGAGAGAGAGAGAGAGAGAGAGAGAAAATGAACACGGATAAAGCGCGAGTGTGGCAATGCTCAGCTCAACTAACTCAAGCCTCATCTCAGGGAGCACTTCGCTTGATGACTGATGACGATGAAGCCACCCTCCCAAGAGGTGGCACGGGCAGGAATAACCCGTAACAAATAATTCTAGCCCACACACCACGCCAACCACCAACTATCCCTCTCACTCGGGCAGGTGAAACTGACACACAAACTCCTGAGACTTCATGCAATCCTCGTCGTTGAGAGTCGGGTGCCACTGGAGGCGCATCTCCACGCACTGCTCCCGGCCGTAGTAGTTGTTGGGTTCGTTGTGGTACCAGTAGCCGTCCTCGATGGGCCGGCCGTCCAGCCAGTGCCAGCTGTGTTGACCGTTCTTCACGCCGCCCAGGAACACGCCAGGCGTCGAGTAGTAGTCTTCGGGGACACGAGAGGGAATGTTGATCAGTGCTGGGAAGTTTCTGCACAGTCGCACGCATACAGCCTCTCACACACACGCATACAGCCTCTCACACACACACACACACACACCAAGAGGGCCTCGTAGCCTGGTGGATAGCGCGCAGAATTCGTAATTCTGTGACGCGCACCAGGCAGAAACAAATGGGCAAAGTTTCTTTCACCCTGAATGCCCCTGTTACCTAGCAGTAAATAGGTACCTGGGAGTTAGTCAGCTGTCATGGGCTGCTTCCTGGGGGGTGTGTATGGTGTGTGGGGAAAAAAGTAGTTAGTAAACAGTTGATTGACAGTTGAGAGGCGGGCCAAAAGAGCAAAGCTCAACCCCCGCAAACACAACTAGGTGAATACACACACAAACACACACACAAATAAGGCGGACACAATTCTTTTGGTCAAATAATATACATATTTGATTTGGGCAAACGTACGTATTTACGTACGTAAGTTCAATTAACGGTTTTCATGACGTTTTGAAACCTTAGGAGAACTTCCTGCCCACCTAACCTACCAGAGGACCCGTAACTTGCTGTTTTTGAAATAAAAAGTCCAAAATTTAATTGGAAAATAAATTTCCATTTTCAATTACGTCGATTTTTGACCGTAGCGCATACGAGCGAAAAACGACGTAATTTGTAAGAGGACGGGTATGTCGGCTTAATTCTCGTGCTCAAATGGAACGGTTTTGGCCACCTTTCCTTTCATCTGATGCGCCTATTCAGCTAGCACTAACTAACCTTAACTCTTAGTAACCCCTAGGAGTTAAGCAGCGGCTGTGGGTTGCATCTTAAATTACTTAGATGATATCTAATGATATCTAATTTCTACATGAACCGACTGACCAATATACATGTCACCAGCCTAAGTTCCGGACAAGGTGTCGTGCAGGGGGGGGGGGGGGGTAGAAATAGCCTAAGCTACTCTATCCCTTTGAGAAGTATTTCTTTCTTGTCTCAATAAACATACTTGAACTTGACGGTGTCGTGCAGCCGAATGACGAGCCTAAATAACCCAAACCCATTTACGGGCTCACCATAGCCCGTGCTACTTGGACACTTCGTTCTGAGTAGTTAAATCTAAAACAACAACAACAACCCAAACCCATCCATAAGAAATTCAATAAAAATGAAGACGTTTCGAACTCCGCCTCCCCTTCCTTCCCTTCCCTTCCCTTCCTTCCCTTCCTTCCCTTCCCTTCCCTCCCTTCCCTTATCAAGTCGTACCATATCGTGTCTTTTAACAACAATTAATAATTCGTTCTGTTGGGGACAGGAAGCCACCTGTAACCTCCCTCCGTTTTCCATGGACGAACTACTGACCCTCTCCCAGGATGCAACCCAGCAACAGTTGCCTAACTCCCGGATATCTATGTAATGCCAGGTGAACAGAGGCATTAAGTGGAAGTAAACACGCCCAACCAGTTCCGTCCCGCCCGGGAGTCGAACCCGGGATCCTTAATTTGTGAGTCGTGAGTACAGTTTAGCAATCCCCGTGGCGCAGTGGTAAGACCCTGCGCTTTGGCCTGGGTTCGTATCCTGGCCGGGGAGGCTACCTTGAGGCTACCTTGAGGTGCTTCCGGGGCTTAGTGTCCCCGCGGCCCGGTCGTCGACCAGGCCTCCTGGTTGCTGGACTGATCAACCAGGCTGTTAGACGCGGCTGCTCGCAACCTGACGTATGGGGAGGTGTGACCGAGCGTTCAGTTTCCTTCCATATGTGTGGGTTGGGGTATTTGTTTCACTACGTTGTTGTGACTGCTTCTCTGCATGAATGATCATCTTACTTTTTTATTATTATTTTATACCACTAGTAAAGTCTTAAATAACCTGTCTGATAATAACAAGTCACCGCGAACAAAATATCAGCTATATTTTATTCATTGTTTAAAGTGAAGAGTAAGCGAAATAATTATGAGAGAATTGAACTGTGACTAAACACGGTTTTAATTGGGCATTTGCCTTAATCTCCGCATTTGGATCAATTTTTACAGGTCACTTGTTTGGGGTTCTCCAAGATATATAGGATGCGATCACCTATATATATACATCAGCTAAACGACCCCATCAACTTTAGGGGGCGTTATTCAAAATCAATTATGGTAATATTCGGTAGCCATGTATATATATTTTTTTAGAATTATGAAGATAGATGACAGGAGTTATGGCTTCTATTGTCCTTTCTTGTTATCTGTTCTTCACAATTACGTTGTAGAAATGTAAAATATAATATGAAATTTAAATAATATATTTTGCTCACTTTAAATTTACCAAAATGGGTTCCGAAATTAGCCATAAAATTGCAAAATTCCACATACCACACAGTTTAATTTTTAAATATTACTATTCAATATTTTGTAATGAATTTAAACATATTTACAAATATATATATATGCCTTTGGGTAAGAGTATTGAGATAGAAAATTGAATTCGATTACGTTATTACGATAATAATTATATAGAGATGACAACAACAAAGTCAGTCAAACTGTGTAACATTTAATTTTAACTAAACAGTACAGTATTTTGTTTACCTCTGCAAGCGCATGCAAAACATCTTCGTCGGTAGAGACGATCCACAAGTACCCGGGCAGCTGATGAGATTGAATATACTGAGAATAAGTCACAATCAAGTGCCTGAAAACAAATCCATTCCCCCACACACATATATATGGACCCTTATCAACATAGCAAGCAAAGAAACTGCCGAAGGTCTTGATACTGGAGCAAGTAAGTGTGTTACTGACATACAGCTCTAGAAAAATGAGTATCTCTTAGGTTGATTTGTTGATATACGTAAGGCTGTTGATCACAATAACCTTCCTTCTCAAACTGCAATGTTATGGTGTCAGTATATGTTTCTCTGAACAACGCTACTCCTCCCACACTACCAGTTAACACTGGTTGTTCCACGGGGAGGCCAGTGGTTGGTTCACAACTACATCCATAGGTTCAGTAACCTTCCAAACCCCATTCAACACCCCATTTAAGCCAATTCTATTTGCTGATGACCCAGGCTTCATTTTCCCTATTGATAACCCATTTATCCAGCGACCCCAAGGACCCCAGGGACCCCAGGGACTATCAGGGACCCAAAGAGCCGAAGCTCAACCCCTGCAAGCAACTTGGTGAGTACTTATTCTAATGTCATTGTGAATACTGAACTAAAAACAAATCCATCTGTGGTTGACTACTAACAATGTCACACATAACTGAAAAAAAGTTTTACAAATGGTTTGGAAACAAGTCCACCAATTAAATTAAACTAAGAATTAACAATACCCAAATTGAGAGCAGAGTAGATGGGAAATTCCTCGGTGTTCACATTGCCAGCAGACTGAATTTCAATTGCCATATACACAATATAACCAAAGTTTTTAAAACAGTAGTTTTAAGATAAAATTAAATTAGATACAATTAGATACTACAATTATTAGATACTCTCTAAAATTAGATACTACGTACCTCGCTCATACTTTGGTAACATTATATTATTCACCTATCCATTTCACCTATGGTATCTATGCCTGGGGACTCACAACCCAAAATTACCTTCGACCCTGAATTTCTGAATATAAATCAGCAATTAGAACAATAACTAACTTCAGTCCTAGACAGCACTCAGCACCCTTACTGAAATCATTTCGAATATGTTAAATATCAAGTCACTGTACACCCACCCACCCACTCAAGTGTGCTCTATATCAATAAAACTCTGAACTGCGATACAAATCTAGTCCATAATCCCTTTCCAGAGGGCTGAGACAGAACCCATGGGCAGTTGGTACCACACGAGAAATAAATATGTATCTGAGTAGTCCAAGAGTACTACTGAACCAAAGCACCTTGCTTTGCATATTGTCCCCCAATATGCCTTGCAAATTGGGGGTCCTAAACTGTGGAATAACCTCCCAGATGAGACTGAAAATTGTACTTCTCTCAGCTAATAAACTAAGAAATATTCAATTAGTTTTATGTAACCAATTTTACTCACATTTCCTCACCCTTCATATCAACTTGTGTTTCCCTATTATTGTTAACATTAATTATATATGTACTCTTGCTAAAAACTTGTTTTTAAATATCGCTTAAAACTATAAAACATTTGCTAAATCATTTTAGCAATTATAATATAAAATACTGTTTGTATTGTTGCAAAAAAAACAAAAACAGCAGGTCTGAATATGTCATAAAAAATGTACATTATTTTCTAAATCTCCTAAGTCAAAAATATTAATTGGCTTCACATGATTTATAAGTATTACCCTATTATATCTGTAAATAATTCTTCTAATTATTTCTGCGTTATACCTACAAATACTCAACTGCGTCATGAATCAACTGTACGTTGATTCATGTTTACGTTTACGTTACGTTTATATAAAGAAAAACACAAATATTGCTGTTGTTGTACAAACCTCGTGCTTTAAAAATGAAGGATTTGAGGGCGTAGAGGTGCTTGGGAGTGGCCAGGTCACCATCCATTCCTTGGCAGTATCTCCGAGCATCCTTCCATGTGAGGGATACCTCACTCAAGTAGTAGCAGCTGTCTAGTACTTGAGTAAAAGGGAAAGGGCAACGACGATCTGCAACAATACATAGCAGCTATCGTGAACGTTGAGGGGGTTCAATTAAGTTCAGTTCTTATCCCTCATAACATTTTGAATTCTCGTTGTCAGGGACAGGAAACCTGTACTTAGTAAAAAAAAAAGGCACACCAAGGTGTTCTTAGGCATCTTCTTCTACAGAGCCTATCCCAGGATGCAACCCGCAAAAGTTGCCTAACTCTTAAACAACTGCACGATGAAACATTTTGTGCAACGAATTATGTCACAAATCAAAGAGAAATGTAAAGATTTTGTTGTTTAGAATAGTAAATAGAGACTGCAAAAAAATGAGTCAATTCGTTAAGGATATTTTCTAATTTTATCAAACAAAGGATCGAGTAAAGATTAAGCTATTAACAAATAATTTTGGCTACTTGAAAATGCATTAACGGACAACTGTGATAAATGCTAGGCTGTCCAGTGTATGGGCGCATTATGGTACAGGCCCTCTATAATACACGAGCACTACAGTACAGTAGTTGTAGTGAACGGTACAGTAGAAGACATGTGCAACAGGAGACACCGGCAGGAGATGACATGGAATAGATGACACACATGTGAAGCCCTGCAGGCACAGCAGCATGTCCTCTGATGTGCCTGCAATGAAGGACAAGCACATCAGAGCACATGGGTAATAGGGTACACGTATGGTAGAAGAAACGATTGGTAGAAGAGAGGTTCAGTTGCAAATATATTTTGTTGGGAACAGACGCAGCAGAGGCGCTGTAGAGAGCAGTGTTAGTTGTGTAAGCAAGTATAGCCATAAATCCCTGTGTTTGTATTATTACCATTCGTAATGTTGAATTTCTTGAGAACGTTAACCAAGTCTTTTAATAACGCTCGGTCACTCGCAGCTTCCCCTTGTCCAGAAGACGTAGCTTCCTGCGGGCCGATTTGTCCAGAAGATACGACTTCCAGCAGCTCGAAATCATTCTGTCCATTGCTTACAATCCCGTGAGCCAGCACGAGAACGATGTAGAGCAAGGACACCATCGCGACCAGCTAGGTATTGAGCCAAATTGGAATTTAAAACATTGCGGCTCAAGACTGACATGTTTGGAAAAGTACATGATGCAGAATAGAACAAGTAACAATCAACTGGAATGGACGATTATTACTTAGACACTTGATAAAAAGTACTAGTGTAACGTTTACAGGGGGCAACCGATCAACAAGCCACAATGTGGGATAGAAATCAGATGATCTTTCACCCATAGGATAATAAACCCATGGAATCGCCTGTCTGCCGAAGTGGTAAAGCCAAACGTTAATTCAGTTAAAAATTCAGCTGAATAATATACCAGGAATAATGGTGGGGGAAGGGAAAGGGAACCTATATTTTTTTTCCTTTAAAAGCCGCCAGCTTCCTGTCCCAGTTGAAGCCTAGTTACTAAATGGTAAACTCAGATAACTCTGTAAGGGAAGTTGAACTCAATCAGGCGGACGAAAGTCATAGTTTCTGATCACAGTATATATTATTTTACTTACAAATATTTAGCACGTATACGTAGTATACCATAGCACGTATATATTTTACTTACCAGAAACGAATGGACTCAAGACCGCTTCTCTGATGTAACTCCCTACTGGATGATGTGTGAACGATGACTGGCCTACAGAACGACTCTAAAGGTTGTGTCGTCAGCCATTGCTGCTCTGTTTTGGTCTACCCAAGGTTGTTTTATGATGACGCCCGAGGCTGTGTTGTGATGACGTCCTGGAGGTGAGGAGGAAGGGTTTGTTGTGATGACGCCCGGGGTTGTGATGTGATGACATCCAATGACGTGATTTGATGAGAGCCGAAGCTGTTTCATGATGACGTCCTAGGCTGCGCTGCGGTGACCCTCAATACACTAGGCTGTAACATCGACCTCTACTCTGCGTGTTAGTGACTTTGCAAGAATGTAACACTTAACGTATGTACTCTCGCAACCCATTACCTTCTTGAATATAAATAAATAAATAAATAAATAAATAAATAAATAAATAAATAAATAAACTTCCTTTTCTTCTTAAATTACATCCCTTCTTCCTCACCTTCCCTCTCTCACTCTTTCCTTACCTGGCTAACCAACATATGTACAGGCTTAGAGATCTATTAGACAACATATAGTGAGGTGCATTGTTGAGCATTCAACCACAAAAAGTGATTAAAGCGATTAATATACTACATAAACCGCTAATTGCTCTATTTTGTAAGCACATCAACAGTAGCATTTTTGAGATGTCAACCAAGAAAATGTTATAAGTTTTCTTACGTAGCTAAAACATCTATTTGAATATCCCTTTTTTTTCCACCCGGTGTTACTACAATGTGCTTTCAGTGCCATTGAAAGTGCCAAGTCTGCGAATTGCCGTATAATATTCCCCCCCACTACATTTTTCTTAAAAAAAATCAGTAGTAAGGAACATATATAATATATTATATATATTATTTTATGATGTTTGTAACTAGTTCACCAAGATTGTAATTGTCTTAGCTAAATGAATTGTGGGGGTTCAGTCCCTGAGCCCATTATGTGCCTCTGTAACCCTTTCCAGTACCGCCCACAAGATGGGTATGGCGTGCATAATAAATGAATTAAACAGAATTCTGTAACGGTAGGGTGTGGCGCTGTAGGGATGGGGTGTGGCGCTGTAGGGATGGGGTGTGGCTCTGTAACGGTAGGGTGTGGCGCTGTAGGGATGGGGTGTGGCTCTGTAACGGTAGGGTGTGGCACTGTAGGGATGGGGTGTGGCTCTGTAACGGTAGGGTGTGGCGCTGTAGGGATAGGATGTGGCTCGGTCAGAAGGGAGGTGGGGTGGGCGGGAAAGAGCTCATGGCTTCATATGGTGCGGGGTGTAATTCTGCCAGGGGGTGGAGTGTAGCTCTGTATGGGGTGGAAAGTGGGGCCGTAGGGACGAGGGGTGGGGTTGTCCCGGGGTGGGGAAGACAGGCCTTGCGGCACATACCTGCTGTGCTCGCTCATAACACAAGCTCCTGCCCTTGATGGCAAAGGTATGTAAACAAACAATGCAGCCTCGCAAGCTTGCAAGGATTCTACAAGAGCAATAAAGACAGATAATCAATGTGATAAGAATTTATATATATATATATATATATATATATATATATATATATATATATATATATATATATATATATATATATATATATATATATATATATATATATATAATATATATATATATATATATATATATATATATATATATATATATATATATATATATATATATATATATATATATATATATATATATATATATATATATATATATATATATATATATATATATATACTCCTTCTGAAGATGTATTAATATACGAAAGTACTTAAGGAAATTCCTGTTTCAATTTTCCTCCGTGGTCTGACAGTCACATTTTTAATCACGTGTTTATTTTCGTGATGGTTATCTTGAGATGATTTCGGGGCTTTAGTGTCCCCGCGGCCCGGTCCTCGACCAGGCCTCCAGGAAGCAGCCCGTGACAGCTGACTAACACCCAGGTACCTATTTTACTGCTAGGTAACAGGGGCATAGGGTGAAAGAAACTGCCCATTGTTTCTCGCCGGCGCCTGGGATCGAACCCAGGACCACAGGATCACAAGTCCAGTGTGCTGTCCACTCGGCCGACCGGCACACACACACACACACACACACACACACACACACACACAAAATAATTATAAGGAGAAAGCGTTAAGCAAGCATGACTATACGTCACTTGAAAGAAAGTGGGGACAGAAACGCTCTGCGTATTAGTGGGTGTTGTTGTTGTTTTAGATTCAGCTACTGGGAACAAAAAGTTCCAAGTAGCACGGACTATGGTGAGCCAGTAGTGGACTTACCTGGCACAGGAGCGGGGCTGTAAGTGACTGGGCTTTAGGCATAGTATATATACTTGCCCTACCTAGAAATCCAACATTCTTCTTGCATCTCATTTTGTATGTACTAATGTACTTGTATCTCATTTTGTATGTATGTATTTAAATTTCTAAATAAACAGTATTAATAATAATAATAATAATAATAATAATAATAATATTATTATTATTATTATTATTATTATTATTATTATTATTATTATTATTATTATATAAAAGACGATGGAATTTTAGTGCGAAGTGAAGGAATGGTGCCCAACCACTTGAACTATCGGGGATCGAACACTAACCCAGCAAGATGCAAGACCGTCAGATAAAAATTTAAAACATGCATAAACGTTAACCCTGATACTGACAAAATAAAAACCGAAATATTAACTCTATTAACACAATATAAACTTTAACAACTGAATAAAAGAAAGGCATGCAAACACAGAAAACCTGCTTCCCGATGCAGGAACCTAACCGCCCGATTCGGTTGTTTTGGGATAGCAACTGGAGAGTACCATACACTGATTAATAAGGTCTTATTATTATTATTTTTATTATTTTATAGAAAGAGCGAGGCAATAGGTGTCATTGTGTTGCATGATTGTTGCAAATACTGTAGTAACTGAATAACCGTAGACTTTAAATGTAAAATGTTTATTTTATAGTGCAGACTCCAATTAACAGTTTAAGAGATAAGCTATCAGACGATCAAAGATTGCTATAAGTCTAAAACAAACAATGAAGGCTCTGTTTTTATCCCAAATGTTTATGTCCTTGTGTCGTTGATAACTCAGACCATACCAGAAAGAGTTGGTAGTTTTATTTATTTATTTATTTATATACAAGAGGGTACATTAGGTTTGTGAGAATACATAGCATAGTATTTACAATCTTGTAAAGCCACTAGTACGCGCATTGTTTCGGGCAGGTCCTTAATCTAACAGATAATTTTAAGTAGGTAAATTCTAGCAGAATTAATAAAATGATAACAGATGCATTGCAGGAAAAAAATGAGATGAGAGAGATTAGTAAGTATAGTAAAGCACATTGGTATATTAAAGCTCTGATTGATTACATTGACAGCTTGATTGGTAATTTAAACAAGATTAATAGGCACCATACAGCAGATTGATAGCTCATATAAGAAGACAGCAATGATCACAGTGGTAAAGATGTTCGGATTGGGTACATAAAGATTGGGAGATTAGGTAGCAATACAGTGCAATTTTAAAGCAACAAGGTAAAAAACTATGAAGATGAAATTAGGTACTTTTTAGTTTTGGTTTTAAATGACGCAAAAGTTGGACAGCTATTCAATTCATTAGGGAGTGAGTTCCATAGACTGGGTCCCTTTATTTGCATAGAGTGTTTACACAGATTAAGTTTGACTCTGGGGATAACAAAGAGATATTTATTTCTGGTGTGGTGATAATGGGTTCAAGTTCAAGTTCAAGTATATTTATTGAGATAAGAAAGAAATACATCTCAAAGGGATAGAGTAGCTTAGGCTATTTCTACCCCCTCTACTTCAAGTCCCTCAAGGGGTGCACAAATTCAGTGAATACAAATAGACAAATAACATTACAATAATCCCATTTAACATTGCAGATTAATATAGTAAGCACAGCATAAAATTGTTACAATCTTGGGGCAAAATTCTTGTAGCTCCTAAGTATACTGTCTATCATACCATTATCACACATCCAAACAATTTGATGTGGTACACTATTTATTTCCTTATTTCTATAGTTATCAATAAGTTGACACTAATACATAAAGTTATTACACACATACAACATATTACATAATTTACACTCCTTATCTTTTTCACTGACATCAACACTGTATTTATTGCCAGATATATTTGTATCCTAATCTTAATCTCATGTAAATTGAATCCTTCCAAGTAGACTTTCCTTTACCATAAGTGAAGGACAAGTTTGTATTTATTACTGAATAATTCTTAAGTGTGTTACTACTGTCCACCATTGCCATTCTCTTTATCATTTCTTCACCCTCTTGGATCATCTTGATTCTTGTTTTTATTTGTTTCAAGGTTATCTGACATACAACATCAACAAGAGTTTTTTCTGTGGCTCTCTTCACTATCTCATCAACTACCTCATTCAACAGTATTCCCACATGTGAAGGGATCCACATGAATCTTACTTTATACCCAGTTTTTTCTAATTTCTTAACATTCTTTCTACACTCTATCACAATATTCTGGTATACTGGGCGTCTGCTATTTAAAGACTCTAACGCTCCTCTGCTGTCAATAAAGAAGCAAGCATTTTTACCACATTTGACTAATCCTGCTAATACACCTTGGAGTTCAGCCTGCATTGAAGAGACATTGTCAGTTAAGCGGCATCCAATAACAGTATCTACAGTGCCAATGTCAGTGTACTCCCTGATCAAGACACCAGATCCTGCCTTCCCATCCCTATCTACTGACCCATCACAATATACATGTAGAGTGTTTTCTGTAGGCAATTTTCTAATTATACAATCATATGTTGCCCTCAGCTCTCCTATTTCATACATACTTTTTTTCTTTTGCAAGGGAGTAATTACTACATCTACATTACAATCCTGCCATGATGGTGTGAATTTTCTCTTGGGCACAGCAATACACTCTGTAATAACATCATACTTTATAACATTAGAACATAAGTTATTCATATATACTCTCTTCTTCATCATACACTGTTCATTACTTCCCACCTTTTGAACCGAGAGGATTAATTCATTAGCTCCCCCACCTCTCATTAATCTCATGGCAGAGGCTACATTTATCTCTACAATTCTATCCCCAATACTCTGCAGATTCAACTCCATCCTCATTATCTCAATCATAGCATTTCTTGGGCATCCTAAGATAATCCTCATGGCTTCATTTTGTATCTTTTCCAACTTGCCCATCCTACCTCTACCAAAACAAGAAATGACAGGTGCAGCATAATCAATAAGAGATCTTACAGTACTCAAGTACAGTACTGTATATCATTCGTAGCACAGGGACTCCCACTCCCTTTCCACAGCATGCCAAGGCCTTCAGAGGTTGCAATCTCTTCCGACATTGACCCAACAGTCTGTTCATCTCAGCTTCCAAACTTTCATGGGTATATCCAACATATATGCCTAAATATTTATATATATTAACTCTCTATATTTTTATCGTTTATTTTCAATATAATGGGCCTCCGACTTCTACATTCAATTTTAGTTATGTTTTCATTAACCACCAGTCCCATATGGTGACACAGGTTTCCGAAATTGTCCAACACTGTTTGAACCTTTGAAATATCTTTGCCCTGAAGCAAAATATCATCGGCATTTATGATCAGAGTTACCCCATTTGAGTATCTCTCAGATGCTATCTTATTCATTAGTACATTAAACAGGGTGGGACTCAACACTCCTCCCTGAGGTATGCCGAGTTCAAAAGATCTCACACCTGACATACAACCTTGATACCACACCTAAGCCTTCCTTTCGTAAAGATAATCCCCTATCCAGCGCAATAATCTCCCTTTAACACCAAGACCAGCTAATTCATATAAAATAACCTCTTTGTTGTCTTTATCAAAAGCTTCTTGTAAATCAATAAAAATTCTATAATAATAATTTTCATTAGCTAGACATTTAATAATACAATCAGAGGTACTTTTTCCTCTGAGGAACCCGAACAAATTACTAGACAGCTGATCACCTATTATATATAAAAGTCTATTTAAAAAAATATTAAAGATGTCAAACAGTGAGCTTTTCGTCATAATGGCAAGTAAAGGCAAGTTCATTAAGTATTTCATAAGTTACTCCATCCTCCCCAGGGGCGGTAGATTTCCCAACTTTAATCGCCGTTATTAGTTCTTCTCTGGTAATACCTGTGCAAGTGACATCACCACTATTACGTGCTGTAAGTATAAAATTCTTTCTTAGATCTTTCCAAGAATCTAATGACTCTCTCGTTACAGCGGGTAATGAACTAAGTTTGGCAGCTTCCGCCCATTTATTTACGAGACCATTTGCAATTTCTTGCGGGTCAGGATGTGCAACAAAATTATGCTTTTTACCCCATATTTTATTTACTTCTTGCCAGATTTCCTTCAAGTTTCTGTTACTTCCAACTTTCTCTGCAAGCTCCTGCCCATACTTGCTCCTAATTTCCTTTCTCTTCTCCCCACACAACCTAGCAACTGCCAGTAAAGGATTCTTCCCTTCCTCAGTCTTACCATTCCTATTCCAATTCCTGTGAGCTCTCCTCATTGTTAATGTCCACCCCTTAAGCATCTTGTCATGTGTATAATTTTCTTTTCTGGGGGGATGCTTTTTAATACTAGAGGTTTTCCGGTTCAATGTTGCATTAAATACATCTACCTCATTAATTAAATTTGCATAAAATTCTTCTGCCGAAACTGACTGATAAGTAATGTATCATGACTTAATATGACCAACAAGACTCCTTAATTCTCCCTCATTAAACTTTAACCTTTTCCTCTGAAGGCAGGCATGCTTTTTATCTAGTTTAAGCTGTATTCGAAATGCAAAATGATCACTTAGCATTTCATCCACAGTAAGACAATTCCCCCTCTATGCCCTCAGCATTTATCAAACAAGCATAATCTAATCTCCCTCCCCCTCAGATAAGTAGGAGAGGGCTCGCCCAGCAGTTGAACATCTTCATGTTACTGCAAAAACTGGTACCATCTGCAACCATTCTTATTTGCTTTACTCCTTGATCCTAAAGCTGGATGTCTGGCATTAAAATCCCCTATCACAAGTGTGTCTTCAGAAAAGAAGGAATCTGGCAAGTATCTTAAATCAAGGGAGGTATCAGAGATGTATAGATTAATGAAATTTAACTCTCAGTCTTGTAATAAGACCGAGAGTTAAATTGATAAACCGCAAGCTAATACTTTCAATACCTCTATATCTCTGAGAGATTCCAGTTATCTCGGCAGGTATGGTACTTTTTACATAACATGAGACTTCCCTAGTTCCTCCATCAGCATATAAGTGAAAACCTCTATAGGCATTTAGCTTCAGAATGCTACCATCCCTATCCCCAGTTTCCTGGAGTGCTACTATGTCAATATTCTTTCTAAGATTATAATAGTGTACATCCACCGCTCTAGTTTTTAATCCATTAACGTTCCAAGATAATATTCTCAATCTACTTTCATCCATGATTAATAATAAAACTAACTTTGCCCTGTCCGTCACATTCCATGAGATACGAGAGTATCTTAGAAACTTCCAACACCGTATTATTTATTCTTTCTCCTCACTTTCACAACTACTACTAACATCGAAGGTAATATTATTCATATATATTTTCTTTGTTATTTCTGTATACCGTTTTACTTTAACCTTTGTTTCAACATTTGTCACAACAGGAGGGTGAACACCGCTAACACTACTAGAAAGTATATTCTCCTGACAATCTTCTATCATCGTTACGTCATGCACATCATTACTTTCTTCTACGCACGTTTCACTTTCCATTTCACGTCCTGTTTTACTTTCAATTACACGTCCTGTTTCACCACCATCTTCACCCCCGTCTACCCTCCATAGCCCATTTTTCCAATGCCTCAATCCTCTAGTCTAGTTTTTTTTTTTTTTTGATATTCCAAAATTTGATGACCAACCTCAGAGTTGACCATATTGTCCTGAACCTTGTCCTCAAAAGGTTTCAGTTTTTTCACTGCATTACCTGCTTCCCCTAGGCTCACCTTAATTATCTCCGCTCCTTTCTCCCACACATTGTTCATAGGGGCTGTCGTTGGCTTCCAGCTGTTTCCTCCATGCTCCTGTTGCACGATCTTCCTTCCTTCGAAGATACATCTATCCTGCTTGTAGGACCCGTCCTAGTCTCTCTCAGATGAGGCTTCATGGGACATAGATAAGAACTAGCACTGTGGCTGCCTCGACAGTTGCAACAAAATGGGACGACTTTTTCACTTTTTTTAAAATTGACTCTACACTCTCGCGAGTCCTGTTTCTTACCACAATACCGACACCTGGGGTCAAACTGGCATTTCCATGCCATATGTCCCCAACGTGAACACTTCATGCATAGTATGGGGTCCTCAATGTATTTTGCAACTTTCCTGTAGCCTAGTCCTTGCACAAAAATTCTTTCCGGCGCCTCACCCTTTACCAAGGCAACAACCTGGCTTTGTCACCACGAACACTGTGCCTCTTTGCCCATACAACATTATCATTGTTCAGAAGAAGACAGTCAGGATCCATATAAGTTGGAAACTTAAAAACTATGATCTTTGTGTACAACATACCTTCTTCCGGAGTAACCATCACAACATTCTCAAAACCAACCGTCGTGAAGAATTCCACGGCCTTTTCTGTCCCAACTGTATGTAGGGTCGGTGAAGACCCTCCTTGAAGAGTGGTTCATATTCCAATCACATCCTTAGCCAGACGTACCGTCCACTCCAGCTTTTGGTGGAAGTTCAGTTGGCAAATTTGCATTTAAGAACAGGGTTTTGTAAATGTAGTTGACACAAGAGAATTTGTGGAGTGAGATTATGCTTAGCATGTTTAGGGAGTTAAACAAAGGGGTTGAGTGTTGTCTGAAAGCAGAATTTGTTATTATTCTGATAGCAGATTTTTGCTGGGTGATGATGGACTTGAGGTGGTTTGCAGTGGTTGAACCCCATGCACAGATACCATAATTAAGATAGGGATAGATTAGTGCATAATATAGAGAGATGAGTGCAGAGTTAGGTACATAATATCTGATTTTGGAAAGTATACCAACTGTTTTAGAGACTTTCTTAGTTATGTGTTGTATGTGGGTGCTGACGTTGAGTCTCTTTTCTAGGAATAGGCCAAGAAACTTTCCATCATTTTTATTACTAATGTTTACATTGTCTATCTGAAGCTGAATTGCATTTGTAGATTTGCTTCCAAATAAGATGTAGTAGGTCTTTTCTATGTTAAGTGTTAGTTTGTTGGTTGACATCCATAAGTGGACATTTTTTAGTTCATTATCAACAACATTATTTAGTGTATGTGGGTTGGGGTTAGAGTAGATGAGGGTAGTATCATCAGCAAACAATATAGGTTTCAGAATGTTAGAGACATTAGGCAGATCATTGATGTATATAAGACACTTAAGTTACACTTAAGTAACACCCAAAAGGTTCCAGGTTCAACTTCTGTGGCAGAACAGGAGCGTTTGGCCAATGTTTCCTTTCACCTAAAGCCTCTTGTTATTCTAGCAGTAAACAAATACATGGGAGTTTGACAGCTGTTGCGGGTTGCATTGCGTAGGAGCTCAGTAGGCCTAGAGGGACTTCGTTGAGCCTAATAGGCTTCCTGTCCCTGACTATGGAAAACTGAATCATGGCATTCAGATTTTTAGTAACATATTGTTGTATGTTAGATACACAATTAAATATTTATTTTGAACTTTTCTTTAGGTACCAGAAGGCTTGCATACAATGATTTCTGTACATTGGAATCGATTGAATGTTATTTTGAGTCACATCTCGGTGAGTGGTGTAAGATGGGTGACCACCACATCACAAGGCTCCCAGCATTTGGCATCCAAGCCAGACACAGGTACCTTATCTTGGAATACTTAATGGCTGTGCTCCTGAAGCAAACAAATTTAGAGTACAATATATATATTATGTATGTAGTTGTACATACAGTAGCTTATAGATGCTAATTCAGTACAGTACAGTGCTATACTTTATACTTTTAATATTTAAATTGTGTATCACAAAGGGATTTTGTTAAACAAAACACAACAAAAATGTTCTAAATCATGGTTATTAATTTTTTTTTTTTTTTTTAGGTGAAGTTAAGGTGCCAGATCCTGCTTCAATTGAAGAACTAAAACAGAAACTCTGCATTCAGTTCTCCAGAGCAAAACTTGGACACTTCACTCAAACACCACCACATCAGGACAATATCTTTACCAACAATGCATTTCTCACTTCCTTTTTGAGCCGAGTTCTGCCAAAGGAGGTAATAAGCTTCAAACAGTTTATTCTGGTTAAGCATCGAATGCAGATTTACCTAATATCAAATGCACAGTGTTACATTTGAGGAATAATGAGACAGGTATCTCCAGAAATGCTTAACCCAATCGGTCATTAAGTTACACTGGATTTAGTATCATTCTCATTTTGTTTTACTTTGTACTACTGTATATGGATTTCCATTGAGTGGTTATTATGCTTGTCTCCTGAGAGCAGTGTGTTTTGAAATAACACTAGGCCTAAAATTTAAGTCTTGTAAATTAATTTTGAGATTTTGTTGGATATTGCTTGAAATCGGCTTTTTAAAATGAAGGGCATAATTTTAGTAAGACATTCCTGAATTTTTATTTTTATGTCTTATATTTCAAATTCACAAATCCATATTCTCAGATATTTATGTTTTATTCTATAATATTTATTATTTGTTACCTAAATACTATTCAGTACTGTACTGTATTTAACTGTACAGTACTTCATTTAGATCACAAAATAATTATAGAAACTATTAAATCTTATTTAAACACAGCTTTATGTAGTTGGACATAGGCTTTTGTTCAATAGTTTAGACAATGGTAAAAGCACTTATGTATGTATGTATTATGTATGAGCCATGTAATGATGTACACTATGTATATAAATATTATTTATGAATGTACAGTATTGTATATCATGTATATATGCAAAATTTAGATATACAGTATATTTAGATTTGGGTATAGATAAATGGAGAGAGAGAAAGAGAGAGAGAGAGAGAGAGAGAGAGAGAGAGAGAGAGAGAGAGAGAGAGAGAGAGAGAGAGAGAGAGAGAGAGAGAGAGAGATGGAAAGAGAGAGAGAGAGAGATGGAAAGAGAGAGAGAGAGAGAGAGAGAGAGAGAGATGGAAAGAGAGAGAGAGAGAGATGGAAAGAGAGAGAGAGAGAGAGAGAGAGAGAGAGAGAGAGAGAGAGAGAGAGAGAGAGAGAGAGAGAGAGAGAGAGAGAGAGAGAGAGGGAAAGAGAGAGGGAAAGAGAGAGGGAAAGAGAGATGGAAAGAGAGGGACTACAGATGGAGATATATATGCAGATGAAGAGAGATATAAATACAGATAGTGAGAGATATATATACAGATAGATAGACATGTATACAGATGAAGAGAGAGATACAGATGGAAATAAGAGGTATAGAGATGTAAATGAACATTGAGTTATGGATGGATAGTTGAGCTACAGTTTTTCAAATTTAAGAAACTATTTCTCAATGTTTTAGTATGTATAAATTGTGCTTGACCGCTCACTGTGATGTAGCTTTATCAATACAACCATGTCTTATGTGTACTCTACTCGGATGTTCCTAAGAGTTTTAACAAGTTTTACTCGTCATTGAAGATCTACGGTACTATACGGGACGACTTGACTCGCTTTGGTCGAAGGGCAGTGACTGATATATACCGCCTGGGAAGGGAATGTGAACTCAATCAGCCATATGTTCGAACCTTTGATGCTTGGGGCAACAGAACTGATGAAATAGGTAATATTATTTGCTGATGTTAAACAGATTTAATTGCATATAAAATTTATCACTTTTGAACTGAAATTGTCGTCTTAGGTTTAGTCAGGGACGGTATAATATATATTCTGTTCTACAGTACAGTATTTATAATGGTTTTCATCATTATTACTTCACTGGCAATATTATTCAGTTTGAATATAATTTGTTTTAAATGTGTGTGTGTGTGTGTGTGTTTAAGAGCAGTGATGAAAACTTTACAGGTATTCTGTAAATATGTTTTAAGAAATGTATTAGGCATTGGGATCTAGGACAGTATATGGATTCCCCTACATGTGACATCACACAGTGATGTCACATGTAAATGTGTAAATGCACATTTAAATGCACATGATGTCATGTGTAAATACTGAGGCTGTGGGCATCAAGCATTACTGGGGCCACATCCAGCTTAATGTATCGGGTCTGAGTAATGAGCTACTGTATATCAGTGGTTCTAGTACACAGAGAAATCACAGTAACGTGATACTGTATATATTAAGGAGAAAATCCAAAGGCGCCGTGATAAGGACAAACGCTTTTTTGGTTTAGTTTAGAGGATAAGCGAGGATAAGTTCAGAGTGTGCATCTGGGAATACCCAGTGCATAGGTTCAAATCCTCATCATGGCTCCTGTGGATTTTCTCAGTGCTTTTAGTTATGATTATGTTATGATTATCATCATAACAATGATAATAATCTGTCTGCACTGAAACACCCAATGAATTGTATACTGCACACTGTCTCAGTATGGCTATCAAGGAATGTTCAAATTAATTTTGTTAATATTGTATGGCTAACAACATCTGCATTTTTAGTTAGCCAAAATGAGACTTATGTATGCTGTTCAATGGATGTTATGATGTGAATTGATTGTCAATATAAGTAGTGAAACCAATGATATTCAGAACTGATGCTGTAAACCAAATGCTGGAGCAGCATTATTGTTTACATAAAACAGCTGTGTGAGTGATGTCTGGCCAAAGAAGGAGGGGAAGGGGGGGTCCATATACAGTACATAAACTAGCAAATCAAAAGTACTGTATGAATATTATTTATAAAATATTAATATTCCTGATGCCACAAAGAATGCATTTCTAATTAGGATAATTTAAATATTTGTATTATTAAAAATCTTGTGTGTGTGTGTGACTTGTAGAATCATAATGGTGTTCACAAAGATTGTTGAAACTTATGTTTTTAATGAGAAATTAGTGTAGGATTCTAGTGTACTGTATAGTAAGATACATATTAAGTTAGTGGAAAAGATACAGTTATACTCCATAATGAAACTGAAAAAACATTAATGAAAGAATAGTTTCTCAATATACTGGTACTGTATTAGCATTACTAAATATATTCATAATTCCCTGTATTTCGATTTCTGATAAATATATTTTAGTATGGTATAAAATCAGTAATCATTTTTCCCAGTTACCTGTCAAGCTTGGAAGGACCTTAAAAAAATTTCTGCAGAAGAGGGTTTAATTGCTACAGCCTACGAAGGAAAGTATGGAGAGTATGATCGACTATACCAGATGGTTAAGCTGTATATTTTCTCACCTGTTTCCGGCCTGTATTCCTGTCCTTTAGCAATGACAGACGGTGCTGCTAAAACAGCAAAGGTGTGTTTTAATCCCTTTATGCTTTGCTTGATATTATATAGTTAAAGTATTGAATATATTTTAATGTTACCATTTGATGAAATTAATCATTATATTCGTAATTTTTCTTTAGGCATTATAGAACTGAAAATGTTAGTTCCACTATCCTGAAAATATTAATTTCATTGTCAGCATTTTAATACACTTCATGGGCTTCCCAAGGTCAGTATGTAACCCATAGAGTTGTAAACCCGTGGAACTGCCTACTCGCTGAAGCTGTAAATGCCAAAATTCTGCCGTGTTTTAAAATACCATACAACTGAAAAAGATCATCAGGGCAAATGGGGGGGGGGGACCTTTGACAAGCAACCGGTTTCCTGTCTTTGTCGAGGCCACTAATACTAGTGGCCTCGACAAGGCCACAAGTGAACTGAGGGCCACTAATGCTAGTGGCCCTCAGGTAAATTCAGGTATGCATGGATGGTGGGCTTGGACCGGGTCTACCTTGCAGTGGTGCTGCACCTGGGGTAGGAGTAAGGAGTACTTGGTGGATGTGTTCTGATTCCTAATTAGGCTATTTTGGTCTCTTGAACAGTCATGTGTGTGACATCACTGGAACCTATTTACTGTACTCTATGCTTGAGAACAGACACCTCTGAGTATGTTATGTTGGTCAGGGGGCTTATTTCTTTGTGACTCTCAGTACTCTTGTGGCCACAAGAGTATGTGGCCTTGCGAGGGCATTGTATGATTTGGTTGTACATATGCCTTTGGAGAGTCATTGCCATGTATGTCATGGTGTGTCCTGTATTGCCAATGAGTGTCCTGTGATCCTTTTATCCATTTTGCAGAGGATAATCTTACTCAGGAAAGAGCTATGCACAAACTCAAGGCTGATTTTTTAGAGATGATATTAAAGGTATGTTTTGAGATGATCTTCTTGAGGTTATCTTGAGATGATTTTGGGGCTTAGCGTCCCCACGGCCAGGTCCTCGACCAGGATTCCTTTTTGTTACGCACCCCCAGGAAGTAACCCGTAGCAGCTCTGTCTAACTCCCAGGTATCTATTTACTGCTAGGTGAACAGACACAGCAGGGTGAAAGAAACTATGCCTACTTGTTTCCGCATCCAACAGGGATTGAACCCGGAACCTCAGTACTATGAATGTGAAGCGCTGTCCACTCAGCTGTCAGGCTCTCTGACTGGGGGCAAGATCTTAACATGCTATATTTTACCATGCTACTTGAAAAATCAACCTAGACCTCCTTCGGAGAATTCTCACCTTTTAATAAAAATTAACAACTTTGTAATTTAGTGGATAATAGAAGGCAATTTTTCATTAGGGTTCTTAAATGGTTATATCGATTTCATTATTCATTAGAAACCTCTACTCTTTGGAGAACCTTGGAAACTGGCTTATATGATCTTAAAAATTACTCCTGTTTTAAAATATGGATGAGAATTCCCTTCATTGAAGGGAGGTGGGGAGGAGTCAGTACTGTACTATGAATCTTATACTACAATGATATATACTATGGTATAGTCAGTACTATATATTATGAACCATCCCTCAATAAGAAACACATGTTATTTTTTTCTTGTTCATTCACAAAACAAATATCTTGAGCTAATATTTTCATAAACACTCCTCTAGTGCAAGCCATAACAGTGCCGGTATTGTAGTTAACGGTTATGTGCATTATGCTCTTTCATGCAGGTCATAACAATTACTGGTAGTCATGAGCATTAGGCTTTCATGCAGCTTTCTATTTTTTTTTGCTGTAGTAAACAATGCAGTTTATCTTATTCCACAGCAGTGCTTTAAATATATTGATGATCAGTATACTCCTTTTTTCAACAGGTGATAAACTCAACTCACTTGCAAGAAGCTTATCAACATCTTACCTCACGTGATCCGCAGCAGTTTTGGACATCAGGCCAATGGATGACGGAAAAACGAGGTAATTGTTTTCTGCTAATACTGTACAGCTTATTATTACCATATTTGTGTATACATTCTTCATTACAAATTCCCAAAGATGGGTTTCAGTAGCATTATGTATTTGAATTTTATTAATGTGACAACTTCTGTATTGAAGTACAGTACAGTAATAATAATTCATTTTGTCAGGGACAGACAGCCTGTGTTTTATATATTTATATATATATATATATATATATATATATATATATATATATATATATATATATATATATATATATATATATTATATATATATATATATATATATATATATATATACAGTATATATATATATATATATATGTCGTACCTAGTAGCCAGAACTCACTTTTTGGCCTACTATTCAACTCCCGATTTGCCTAATAAGCCAAGTTTTCATGAATTAATTGTTTTTCGACTACCTAACCTACCTAACCTAACCTAACCTAACTTTTTCGGCTACCTAACCAAACCTAACCTATAAAGATAGGTTAGGTTAGGTTAGGTAGGGTTGGTTAGGTTCGGTCATATATCTACGTTAATTTTAACACCAATAAAAAAAAATTGACCTCATACATAATGAAATGGGTAGCTTTATCATTTCATAAGAAAAAAATTAGAAAAAAATATATTAATTCAGGAAAACTTGGCTTATTAGGCAAATCGGGCCTTGAATAGTAGGCCAAAAAGTGAGTTCTGGCTACTAGGTACGACATATATATATATATACTGTATATATATATATATATATATATATATATATATATATATATATATATATATATATATATATATATATATACTATATATATATATATATACTGTATATATATATATATATATATATATATATATATATATATATATATATATATATATATATATATATATATATATATATACTGTATATATATATATATATATATATATATATATATATATATATATATATATATATATATATATATATATATATATATATATATATATATATATATATATATATATATATATATATATATATATATATATATATATATATATATATATATATATATATACTGTATATATATATATATATATATTAGTATATTTTGGTAGCAGTCTTTCCTGTAGACATATTTTATTAAATATGACCGAAAAAGTAAGATTAATAATTCTAACACGAATTTTCTCAATCTTTCGTACATTATGCTTCACTGTTGGAGGTAAATCAAAAATCACTTCTCCAAAATTCATTTTTATTTCTAGTCTGACGCGACACGGGCGCGTTTCGTAAAACTTATTACATTTTCAAAGACTTCACAAATACACAACTGATTAGAACTTGCGTTTCCCTGATTTTATATCTACATTTGAGTGAGGTGGGAAGGGTGATGTGGCATTACATTTGAGTGAGGTGGGAAGGATGATGTGGCATTAGAGGATATTAATAGGGTATTAAAAGTATCAACACAAGACAGAACACGAAACAATGGATATTGAATAGAAGTGTTTGTAGAAAGCCTATTGGTCCATATTTCTTGATGCTTCTATATTGGAGCGGAGTCTTGAGGTGGGTAGAATATAGTTGTGCAATAATTGGCTGTTGATTGCTGGTGTTGACTTCTTGATGTGTAGTGCCTCGCAAACGTCAAGCCGCCTGCTATCGCTGTATCTATCGATGATTTCTGTGTTGTTTACTAGGATTTCTCTGGCGATGGTTTGGTTATGGGAAGAGATTATATGTTCCTTAATGGAGCCCTGTTGTTTATGCATCGTTAAACGCCTAGAAAGAGATGTTGTTGTCTTGCCTATATACTGGGTTTTTTGGAGCTTACAGTCCCCAAGTGGGCATTTGAAGGCATAGACGACGTTAGTCTCTTTTAAAGCGTTCTGTTTCGTGTCTGGAGAGTTTCTCATGAGTAGGCTGGCCGTTTTTCTGGTTTTATAGTAAATCGTCAGTTGTATCCTCTGATTTTTGTCTGTAGGGATAACGTTTCTATTAACAATATCTTTCAGGACCCTTTCCTCTGTTTTATGAGCTGTGGAAAAGAAGTTCCTGTAAAATAGTCTAATAGGGGGTATAGGTGTTGTGTTAGTTGTCTCTTCGGAGGTTGCATGACTTTTCACTTTCCTTCTTATGATGTCTTCGATGAAACCATTGGAGAAGCCGTTATTGACTAGAACCTGCCTTACCCTACAGAGTTCTTCGTCGACTTGCTTCCATTCTGAGCTGTGGCTGAGAGCACGGTCGACGTATGCGTTAACAACACTCCTCTTGTACCTGTCAGGGCAGTCGCTGTTGGCATTTAGGCACATTCCTATGTTTGTTTCCTTTGTGTAGACTGCAGTGTGGAAACCTCCGCCCTTTTCCATGACTGTTACATCTAGAAAAGGCAGCTTCCCATCCTTTTCCGTCTCGTAAGTGAAACGCAGCACGGAACTCTGCTCAAATGCCTCCTTCAGCTCCTGCAGATGTCTGACATCAGGTACCTGTGTAAAAATGTCGTCAACATACCTGCAGTATATGGCCGGTTTCAAGTTCATGTCGACTAAGACTTTTTGCTCGATGGTACCCATGTAGAAGTTTGCAAACAGGACACCTAGGGGAGAACCCATAGCGACCCCATCTACTTGCTTATACATATGCCCATCCGGGCTCAAGAAGGGTGCCTCTTTAGTACAAGCTTGGAGTAGTTTCCTCAGAATACTTTCTGGCATGTCAAGAGGAGTACAGGCTGGATCACGATACACTCTGTCGGCTATCATTCCGATTGTCTCGTCCACAGGTACGTTGGTAAACAGCGATTCTACGTCCAACGAGGCTCTTATCCCTGTGGCCCGTGCGCCCCGCAGTAAGTCCACAAATTCCTTTGGAGACTTCAGGCTGAAGGCGCAAGGAACATACGGAGTCAGCAGGCCGTTGAGTCGCTTTGCCAATCTGTACGTGGGTGTGGGTATCTGGCTAATGATTGGCCGAAGTGGGTTTCCAGGCTTGTGCGTCTTGACATTTCCATACGCATATCCAGGTTTATATTCCCCAATGATCTTTGGCAGGTGGAGTCCGGATTTCTTGGCGTTCACAGTTTCGATCAGTTTGTTGACCTTTGCTTTTAATTCGGCTGTAGTGTCCTTCGTTACCCTTTGGAACTTAGTTTGGTCAGAGAGTATGATGTTCATTTTCGCCAGATATTCGTCTTTTTTAAGGAACTTAAAATCTCTTTTAATAAATAAATAATAAATAATAATAAATTTAATAAATTTTATTAAATTTATTAAAAATTTATTAATTTATTAAATTTATTTAATAAATTTATTAAATAAATTTAATAATAATAATAATTTAATAATAAATCTCTTAATAAAATTAAGGAACATATAATCTCTTCCCATAACCAAACCATCGCCAGAGAAATCCTAGTAAACAACACAGAAATCATCGATAGATACAGCGATAGCAGGCGGCTTGACGTTTGCGAGGCACTACACATCAAGAAGTCAACACCAGCAATCAACAGCCAATTATTGCACAACTATATTCTACCCACCTCAAGACTCCGCTCCAATATAGAAGCATCAAGAAATATGGACCAATAGGCTTTCTACAAACACTTCTATTCAATATCCATTGTTTCGTGTTCTGTCTTGTGTTGATACTTTTAATACCCTATTAATATCCTCTAATGCCACATCATCCTTCCCACCTCACTCAAATGTAATGCCACATCACCCTTCCCACCTCACTCAAATGTAGATATAAAATCAGGGAAACGCAAGTTCTAATCAGTTGTGTATTTGTGAAGTCTTTGAAAATGTAATAAGTTTTACGAAACGCGCCCGTGTCGCGTCAGACTAGAAATAAAAATGAATTTTGGAGAAGTGATTTTTGATTTACCTCCAACAGTGAAGCATAATGTACGAAAGATTGAGAAAATTCGTGTTAGAATTATTAATCTTACTTTTTCGGTCATATTTAATAAAATATGTCTACAGGAAAGACTGCTACCAAAATATACTAATGTTAAAGTGCACGACCCAGCAGCAAGGAATCAAGCCTTCACGATAAAATATCGCCAGGATCTGATTCGTGATCAGATATACAAGGCAGAGAATGAAATCAAAGACAAAAAAACGCAACTACTTCATGCTACAAACGAGTGGAGAAATAGCAACATCGACCATAGTATCCGTACCCGCATTGAACAACACCTCGACATCCTCACAGACCAACATCACCTCAGCACTGAAACAAGGATTATCAAGAAACTAACAACATTATATGGAGGACCTATGGCAATTCCACGACCAAGAGATGGCTTCCTGAACCTTGCAGGAATTAACCTCACTGAGGACCAAGTCACTCTCCTAAATCTGGGCATAAACTGTCATGTTATGTCCAGACCGAGTGAAATGGCCCGGAAAGTGGAGTTGGAAATTCTGTTGGACGACATATTCGACCTCGAGACACAAAAGAAGGTCACTACCAAAGATACCTTACAAGCAGAACTTATTGCAGAAGGAGGAAAGAATCGAGGCAACTACAGAAGCACCATACTGTCCCCCGAGCTTAGAGCGGCAGCTAAAAGCCTTCGTGAGAACAAGGAGATAGTTGTCAGGAGAGGTGACAAGTCGCCAATATATGTCATTCTTAAAAAAGACGAATATCTGGCGAAAATGAACATCATACTCTCTGACCAAACTAAGTTCCAAAGGGTAACGAAGGACACTACAGCCGAATTAAAAGCAAAGGTCAACAAACTGATCGAAACTGTGAACGCCAAGAAATCCGGACTCCACCTGCCAAAGATCATTGGGGAATATAAACCTGGATATGCGTATGGAAATGTCAAGACGCACAAGCCTGGAAACCCACTTCGGCCAATCATTAGCCAGATACCCACACCCACGTACAGATTGGCAAAGCGACTCAACGGCCTGCTGACTCCGTATGTTCCTTGCGCCTTCAGCCTGAAGTCTCCAAAGGAATTTGTGGACTTACTGCGGGGCGCACGGGCCACAGGGATAAGAGCCTCGTTGGACGTAGAATCGCTGTTTACCAACGTACCTGTGGACGAGACAATCGGAATGATAGCCGACAGAGTGTATCGTGATCCAGCCTGTACTCCTCTTGACATGCCAGAAAGTATTCTGAGGAAACTACTCCAAGCTTGTACTAAAGAGGCACCCTTCTTGAGCCCGGATGGGCATATGTATAAGCAAGTAGATGGGGTCGCTATGGGTTCTCCCCTAGGTGTCCTGTTTGCAAACTTCTACATGGGTACCATCGAGCAAAAAGTCTTAGTCGACATGAACTTGAAACCGGCCATATACTGCAGGTATGTTGACGACATTTTTACACAGGTACCTGATGTCAGACATCTGCAGGAGCTGAAGGAGGCATTTGAGCAGAGTTCCGTGCTGCGTTTCACTTACGAGACGGAAAAGGATGGGAAGCTGCCTTTTCTAGATGTAACAGTCATGGAAAAGGGCGGAGGTTTCCACACTGCAGTCTACACAAAGGAAACAAACATAGGAATGTGCCTAAATGCCAACAGCGACTGCCCTGACAGGTACAAGAGGAGTGTTGTTAACGCATACGTCGACCGTGCTCTCAGCCACAGCTCAGAATGGAAGCAAGTCGACGAAGAACTCTGTAGGGTAAGGCAGGTTCTAGTCAATAACGGCTTCTCCAATGGTTTCATCGAAGACATCATAAGAAGGAAAGTGAAAAGTCATGCAACCTCCGAAGAGACAACTAACACAACACCTATACCCCCTATTAGACTATTTTACAGGAACTTCTTTTCCACAGCTCATAAAACAGAGGAAAGGGTCCTGAAAGATATTGTTAATAGAAACGTTATCCCTACAGACAAAAATCAGAGGATACAACTGACGATTTACTATAAAACCAGAAAAACGGCCAGCCTACTCATGAGAAACTCTCCAGACACGAAACAGAACGCTTTAAAAGAGACTAACGTCGTCTATGCCTTCAAATGCCCACTTGGGGACTGTAAGCTCCAAAAAACCCAGTATATAGGCAAGACAACAACATCTCTTTCTAGGCGTTTAACGATGCATAAACAACAGGGCTCCATTAAGGAACATATAATCTCTTCCCATAACCAAACCATCGCCAGAGAAATCCTAGTAAACAACACAGAAATCATCGATAGATACAGCGATAGCAGGCGGCTTGACGTTTGCGAGGCACTACACATCAAGAAGTCAACACCAGCAATCAACAGCCAATTATTGCACAACTATATTCTACCCACCTCAAGACTCCGCTCCAATATAGAAGCATCAAGAAATATGGACCAATAGGCTTTCTACAAACACTTCTATTCAATATCCATTGTTTCGTGTTCTGTCTTGTGTTGATACTTTTAATACCCTATTAATATCCTCTAATGCCACATCATCCTTCCCACCTCACTCAAATGTAATGCCACATCACCCTTCCCACCTCACTCAAATGTAGATATAAAATCAGGGAAACGCAAGTTCTAATCAGTTGTGTATTTGTGAAGTCTTTGAAAATGTAATAAGTTTTACGAAACGCGCCCGTGTCGCGTCAGACTAGAAATAAAAATGAATTTTGGAGAAGTGATTTTTGATTTACCTCCAACAGTGAAGCATAATGTACGAAAGATTGAGAAAATTCGTGTTAGAATTATTAATCTTACTTTTTCGGTCATATTTAATAAAATATATATATATATATATATATATATATATATATATATATATATATATATATATATATATATATATATATATATATAATATTATATATATTGTATATATATATTAACAAACAGAACACTTCCCCATATGAGAGAATCGAACCAGGGGCCAGCAAATGCCAGGCCAGAGCCTTAACCACTAGACCAACCTCAGATCATCAAAAGGAAGGGAACTAGGATGGGTTTTCCACCACGTAGTCCCCCTCCCCGACGACACCAGAGGGATGGTCCCTGATCAAACACTCATTTTCTATCAATCATATTTACTAGGGAAAACTTGTGTCTGGAGTATATCACACACTTACATGAACTCGCAAGGAATTTTTTAACAAACAGAACACTTCCCCATATGTGAGAATCGAATCAGGGGCCAGCAACTGCCAGGCCAGAGCTTTAACCACTAGACCAACCTCAGATCATCAATAGGAAGGGAACTAGGATATATATACACACACATATATATATACACTGTATATATGTGCTGTATGTAGATTCCTAACCTCTTTGTGCTTGTAAAATATTGATTTGATTTAGTATATATATACCACTACCATAGGCATAATATTTGAGAATGCCTTGAGGGATAATAGCTGTAGTTGAACAAGATCGGCCCCCAACAGGATAAACTCTTTAAGAAACCATACAAGGTGTTTGGGATCACTGGAGACAGGAGACAGTCTAGTCAAAATTTAAAGAGGCTCTCAGATTTATTCACAAAACTCATGTAGAATATTACAGGTTTTCAATGATGTCACACTCATGACTACCAGTGGGAACTCTGGTCACCTTTCAGTGCCAGAGGCATCCACCCAGATCCACTTGACTACACTAAGCAACACTTTGGTCAGCAGATACAATTACTGAGCAGAGTTTACCTTGGTTATCAAACTCTGATGATCTCAATCTACCAGTTACACTTAAGCTGAAATTCTGTGGCTAGTGTCTTAGTACAGGATATAGGTCAGTTTAAGTGTTCCTGATGCTTTTTTGACCAGTGGTTCAGTGTCATATGAAAATGACTATTAGTAGGCAGTTTTCTGGTCAGAGATTTAGTTCATGTGCATAGGAACACCCAGCACATAGATTCGAACCCTCATCAAGCATCCTGTTGGATTTGTTCATTGATGTATCACGTGATTTCTCTGATTATGTGAGTTCTGTGTGTATCATCATCAGTATTTTCTTTGGAAGCTTCCTTGACTTAACTGGTTTGTCAGGTCCAGTCCTCAGTCTCTCTTATTTTTTTATATTGGGTGGAGGGACAGCTGACTTTTAATATATAAGAATGGATCACTGCATGATTCGAAAGAACTTAAGGTTCTTGTTGGAGCTGCTGCACTCCAATTGGCCTTGAAAGCTGAAGTCTTCAGTGTTTGGCTGGCTGAACTTGCCTAGTGTCCCTAGTTGGTTTCTTGTGTGTGTGGATAAATTTCTGTAGGGTGTCTGTGAATCCAGGAAACTGACATATATAGATGTATGGGCACATTCAGAAAATCCTTGTCATAATTATGCATCTTCGTTCTGCTCAGGTGGATCAGATGTGAGTGGATCAACAGAGACTGTAGCACTGGAGCAGCCTGACGGCACTTACCAACTGTTTGGTTATAAGTGGTTTAGTTCTGCTACTGATGCTGACATGACACTTACCCTGGCTAATATCATCTCTGAAGATCAGCCTGAGCCAGTAAGAATTGTTACTTAAGCTGATGAAATTTGTGTGTATACTGTATGTATATCCATCTGTGTCTGTCAATCTTTAAATATGTATGCATGCATGTATGGTCCTCTGTTTCTGTCTACAATGATATCTGTGTTTCTGTTTTCTGTTTTAGTCTCTCTTATTGCTCAGTTAGCAATATACATGACTGATACTTATCGTGGGCTGAAGCTCCCTGTTTTGCCCTTTTACATATAGTATTAAAGACCCAATGTGCTGACTCAGAATTTAAATTGACTTCATTCTTTTTAAGTTCATCAAGATGTAAGTTTTTACTTTTGAGGTCGAGTATTACCCTAATCCATTTATTAGTGGTGCAGTATCTAAAATGACTTGGAAGGAATCTGTAACCATTTTACCTAGACAGTATAACATTTTTATTTATTTTTATTTGGAATAGAAACTGTCACCCAAGATATAATAAATCATGCAAATATAACAATTGCATTAGCTATGAAGCAGGTAAGCACAGCGGCTAGTATCAAGATATTGTTTTGGTACCATTTATTGCTTTCTCTTCCTATGATGACACTGGTTAACTTACTCTGAGTAATTAGTTCAGTGAAGGATGAAAGCAGTAGATGAAGTTCTGCTTCTGTGCTCTAAATAAAGTTTTATACAGTAGCACCCTATTTCTGTACAGTGAATCCTACAGCTTACTTATTTCTTGTCTGCTAATAAGGGTTGAATAGGGTGCTAAGTGCTGACAACTCAGTAGAGAAATACCAAGATGACAATAAATTTTACTTGTGAATCAAATTTTTGCTTCCAAGGGCTTTTTCAGAACTAACGAAGAAACACAAACAATTGTTATAAAGGGAAAACAGCTAAACTGGTGAGGTCACTCTAGTGAATGCTGTGTGGAATGTGATGGATTACAAGTTACAATTTATGTTTTGGAAGTACTGTATTACATTAGCAAGAGGTATAGTAATGCCCTAAGGCTCGGCAACCTCCTGGGGCTGTAACTTAGGAAACTTTTAAGTGTTCTGCTAGAAAAGGGCATTTCATTACTGTATATTTATCACTTTTTGTTATTTTATCATTCAAAGCACTTTCATTGTTAACACAGTTATGGAGTCCATTGTATTATTAAATCTTGAACAATGTTTACAATATTACATTGTGTAGAAAATGGAATCCTGACCATTTTTGTAAGTGCTGTTAAATAAATGCAGTTGGTATTTGTCACATATGATAGTTTTTGGTCTTATTGTATTTCAGAAACCTCGAGGACTGACAATGTTTTACCTAGAAACAAAGAGAGAAGATGGCACATCAAATGGCATAGAAGTAGTTAAACTGAAGAATAAGTTGGGTAAATAAATATACTATAGCAGCTATTTATGCATTAATGAAATTGAACTCTTCCTGCTGCTACTAAGTTATTTAATGCTCTTCTCCATAAGTGACTAAAATTTTTTAGTTATCTCTAAAGGGATACACTGTCATGCATCAGTCTTGGTAAAGCAAGCAAATGTTTTCTCCCTGGCTTTATTGTGCTCGCTCAGGGGAAGGAAGATGGTGGTGGGGACCGCTCGGAACCCCCTGTCTCCTCCACAATAGCTCCTTTAGCTCCATAAGCACCTTTGTAATTGCTTGTTTGCTAATCTGTTGCATTATATTTATTCATCTGTCAGAACTTAGATATGAATAAATATCATCTTAGATCAACGAAGTTGATAAGTATTCTGATTTGAATTGGTTAATATTGTCATAGTTGCTATATCGAGTTTGGCAATAACTGCTGGCTGCAGGGGAGTGGGGAAGGCTCTGAGGGAAGCACTGGGACCAAAAAGATTTACTTCTAATGGTTGCATGCCATCAGCTGATAATTGTAAACATTTTTGCATAGGAGCAAACATCATGTGAGTACATGCTGAGCAGAATAAAGGTTAAGTAAAATTTGATTTAACTAACTTGGAAAGCTGAGATGCTTTTTTTTTTTTTTTATAGCTGGGTACATGAATTAAGACTACAATGTTGCCTCTCCTGGTTCCTTACTTGTGGTCTTCCTGTTTGATAATCTCCTTTTCCTTGATGCTGTGCCTCTCCCTCATTCTCTACCACTTAGTGCCCCTCTTTACTACTTAGTGCCCCTCCCTCTTTCTCTACCACTTAGTGCCCCTCCCTCTTTCTCTACCACTTAGTGCCCCTCCCTCTTTCTCTACCACTTAGCACCCCTCCCTCTTTCTTTACCACTTAGTGCCACTCCCTCTTTCTCTACCACTTAGCACCACTCCCTCTTTCTCTACCATTTAGCACCACTCCCTCTTTCTCTACCATTTAGCACCACTCCCTCTTTCTTTACCACTTAGTGCCCCTCCCTCTTTCACTACCACTTAGTGCCCCTCCCTCTTTCTCTACCACTTTGCGCCACTCCCTTTTTGTCTACCACTTAGCATCCCTCCCTCTTGCTCTACCACTTAGTGCCCCTCCCTCTTTTTCTACCACTTAACTTGCTTTGCAGTTTCACCCTAATGATGGTCGAAGTCGAACTGAAACATCAGCAGTTTCATGTTTCTTGTCTGTAGGGGATGGTGCTAACAATATTTGTTATTATGTTGCATTGCATGAAATTACTGATGATTTGTTAAAATGGGAACTCATTTGCCTTTACTCAATATGTCATAATTTATTCTCCAGTAGAAAGGCTTATTCATGAACACCATCATACCTTTCCAATCTTCAGCAGGTCCTACCATATCTTCATGCTCTGCTCTTTTCATTTTAATAATGAAAAGAAATATGAGTCAGATTTATATTTGTTATGATCTTTTTATGATTGCATATTTAAGGAACTTCATGTTAGGAACGTGTTTCGTACTAAGTGACCCCTATGCATTTATCTCCGATGGTGGCAATTAATGTAGCGCATGTATGCCAAATTCATTGCTTGTTTTGGTCTTTTACTATTTGGGTACGATAAAATGTGTATGCAATGCAGGAATTGTTTGCCTTACTCTAGGTACTCGCCAGTTACCCACAGCAGAGCTTCTACTAGATGGTGCAGTGGCGCACCAGCTTTCACCTGAGGGACGTGGCATCGCTTCAATTGCAAACATGCTTACTATCACTAGGATGCACAATTCTGTATCTGCATGTGCTTCAATGAGGAGGTAGTCTTGGTAGTGTAGAGAATCATTGGCTAAATTTTTTTCCCGTCGTTCTTGAAAATATTATTCAAATATTTATTCTAGAGTGCTTTTCCAAATTGCTTGTGAGTAATACTCTTTTGACATGCACTTACTCCCTTTACTTAATAATTAATTAATAAAATAAATATAATTTAATGTATGTACTGTATGTGTAAAATACTACCTCTATCATATTACCCATGTAACAAATTTCTTGCCTCATTTTAGAATACTCCAACTAGCACGAGACTACAGTCAGCGTCGCTCAGCATTTGGACAGATGGTAGAGTCTCACACATTGCACCAGCTCACAGCTTCAAGGATGGAGGTTGCTACTAGGGGATGTGAAATGCTCACTTTCCATGTTGCTAGGTGAGGCATGGCATTTGCCTGAAAGCACTTTATGGGAAAATTTCTGGAATTGGCCCTTTCTTGCTGCTTTCCTTTGCGCGCACCTTTCTTTTTATTGCCTCTTCCATATGTCCTTTTATCGCCTCATACATGTCTCTCACTCATATGCATTTATAATCTTACTAGAAATATGGGTAAGTGAGGTGAAAAGAGTATCATTTCCATGTTTTTCATTGTTACGAGTTCAGAAAATATAAGTTTAGTAATATAATGGGGATCAATACTGTAATGTTAAAATGATATACAGTAGTTAAAATAAATTGCACTTGTTCTTTCATTTTATCATCCATTTTATATGGCGTCATGAGTCAACAAACCCCACCACTAGCCATGTTTCGCAACAGCAATCCACTATTTCATAAGTCCAGGTATATAGTACTTCTCTACGGTTGTCGTTTAGTAATACAAGTAAATACATTGAGACTTGCCCTTGCCATAATCCTTGCTCTGTATATGTTCTCCTATATCTTGCTTATTTATACTGCTTTTGTTCTTGGGGTTTTTTAACATTCCACTATTCCACCTTCATTCATAATATTTGGCACTGTCACTCTTGCAGGCAGCTTTCTGCCTGTATCTCTTCCTATTATGTTTTAATTCAGCAGGCCACTCGGTGATCCCCGATTCACTCTGCTCTCATCTTTCACTTACTTAAATTCCTCTATCAGTCTTACATCTTACACATTTAAAAGGATCAATCACTTTTATCTTTTTTATTTTCACATTTTTGGCACATCGAATACTATCCTTCTTTCTGCCACCTTAACTTTAATTTTATCCACATTCACTTTTAACAGTCATCTCTGTTACATGTCAATAATGTTCAACTAGTCTACATAAATTCCCTTTACTCTCTGCTAAATGAAATATATCTTCTACATGCATGAAATTTAGCACATTCTAGTTACTATGCATGCTCTTATTACACCTATACACTTTATTTACACATTTCTTTAATATTCTTACTTTGAACTCCCTCATCACCTCGTCCAAATACATTGAGCAAACAAGCTTACATCACAGAACCCTAGCATGCAGTGACGATGTTATCAGACCCCTCACTTGTTACATCTTCAACTCTTCATATGCAATACTGAGCATTCTAGGTGTAGGAATAATAGCCATTTAGTTTGAAACAAAATATGCCAAGTCTCCTTCATTTTAATATTTCTTTGGCATTTGTGTTATTTATGTGAGGAATTCATTAGTAAGGCTAATTACAATTCTGGACCATAATAAATTTAAAGTATTTTTATCTTAACTATACATGTAAGTGTACTAGCATTTACCGTACTTCATCACAGAACTTGATGCTTTCTTGTTTTTTTCTCCCAAAGACTTCTTGGTCGGGAGGAGGCAGGTGTCGCCACTCAGGAAGAGTCTCTGATCCTTCGCATTGTAACTCCCATCTTGAAATTTTTCACGGCTAAGATGGCCATGGAGATAGTTTCAGAAGGCTTAGAATGTTTCGGTGGGCAGGGCTACATCGAGGACACTGGCTTACCTTCTTACTTACGAGATGCTCAGGTGATCTTGATGAACTTTTCTAGTGTTATGGTTGCCCATTGTTTTTCCATTGTTCAAGGACATGAAGTTTGTTAGGCATATCACACTGAGCCAACAACTGACCTTTCCCCAGGATGCAGCCCACAACAGTTGCCTAACTCAGGTTATAGTTTCAGTAATAGCACACATTACAGCATTAATAAAGTAACATTAATTCTTACAAAAGTTAATAAAAAAAAATGTTTGTGAAACCTTTTGTATGGTATTTAAGTTTCAGAAATGTTTTAATTGTTAATTTGACTCGTGTTTTTTGACAAATTATGCATTTACAAATTTAAAAGATAGAGTACATTAAAATAAGCAGCCACATTCATAATTTTGAAATCTGCAATTTTAAATCAGTTCTATAGGCTTGTGCCCAATGTTTTCTATAATGTTGTCCTTTCTGCATGGAAATCAATGTCTTCTTTGAATATCTCCCCTTGGATGACATTAATGTATATATATTCTAAGCTAAACCACTGAGGGAAGATTTTGCTGTTCCCTTTGACATGATAAATGCAGTCATGGTAGACCAACAGTCTTTACATTAGCTGAGCAGGAGTCTTTTCAAAATTCCTTTGCTAGATTATCTCGTGTTCAGTGATTCATTACTTGGGAACCATCAAATTCATAATTTTTGATAACAATGAGTAAGGTAGCATAAAGTATTAATGTTTTGCAGTGATTTTCAGTAGGTTTGGTGACATTTAGTTTTGCCGATGAGAATTGGTACTCTAGTTCTATCTTGCTCTGAAGAAGACCAAGGATGTCTGTAAACACATTCAACATTCTTTTATTTCTTAAAGTTTTTTTTTGGCATACTGTAGTTACTTAATTTTCTGATATAAGTAATTTTGTCTCTTGTTTCTGTACATTTCATATCTCCACAACACAGGTGTTACCAATTTGGGAAGGTACATCGAATATTATGTCGTTGGATTTCCTTCGCGCTGTGACAAAAACTAATGGAAAAGCCTTGACTGCTTTGTGTGAAGATGTAAAAGGTATGTACAGAGAGAGAGAGAGAGAGAGAGAGAGAGAGGACACTAACTTTCTTGATGTTTTGATGTGGTAAATATAACTTGTAGTCATGAAGTGCTGATACAAAATATTAGCTAGACAGGATGTGACATTATGGTCAAGATCGATGCGACTGTTTATATTACTGCATAATCTGATATTCACTTGTTTATTGATTGAAGAGGGATATTCCTGGGTTGTGGTTTCCTGGTTATTTGGGTGTTACACTTCCCGATCTGTTGCTCTGTCAATCCTGTTTCCATGTTGCCTTGGCCAGGCTTTCTCAGGTTATTTATCTATCATTTGGTACAGTCAGTCTGATGTGTTCACACATGGTGAACACAGGTATAAGAACATAAGAACATAAGAACAAAGGTAACTGCAGAAGGCCTATTGGCCCATACGAGGCAGCTCCTATTCTATAACCACCCAATCCCACTCATATACTTGTCCAACCCGTGCTTGAAACAATCGAGGGACCCCACCTCCACAATGTTACGCGGCAATTGGTTCCACAAATCAACAACCCTGTTACTGAACCAGTATTTACCCAAGTCTTTCCTAAATCTAAACTTATCCAATTTATACCCATTGTTTCGTGTTCTGTCCTGTGTTGATACTTTTAATACCCTATTAATATCCCCCCGGTTATGTCCATTCATCCACTTGTAAACCTCTATCATGTCACCCCTAACTCTTCGCCTTTCCAGTGAATGCAACTTAAGCTTTGTTAATCTTTCTTCATATGAAAGATTTCTAATTTGGGGAATTAACTTAGTCATCCTACGCTGGACACGTTCAAGTGAATTTATATCCATTCTATAATATGGCGACCAAAACTGAACTGCATAATCTAAATGGGGCCTAACTAGAGCAAGATATAGCTTGAGAACCACACCAGGTGTCTTGTTACTAACGCTGCGATTAATAAATCCAAGTGTCCGATTTGCCTTATTACGAACATTTATGCATTGATCCTTTTGTTTTAAATTCTTACTAATCATAACTCCCAGATCCCTTTCGCAATCCGACTTCGCAATCACAACACCATCTAGCTCGTATCTTGTAACTCTATCATCATTACCTAACCTCAGAACTTTACATTTATCAGCATTAAACTGCATCTGCCAATCCTTTGACCATTTCAAAACCCTATCTAGATCAACTTGAAGTGATAGTGAGTCGTCCTCCGAATTAATTTCCCTACCGATTTTCGTATCATCGGCAAATTTGCAAATGTTGCTACTCAAACCTGAATCTAAATCATTTACATATATTATAAACAACAGAGGTCCCAGGACAGAGCCTTGAGGCACTCCACTTACAACATTTTCCCACTCTGACTTGATTCCATTTATACTAACTCTCTGTTTCCTTTGGTAAAGCCATGCCCTAATCCAGCTTAATATAGCACCCCCAATACCATGAGACTCTATCTTTTTAATCAGTCTTTCATGTGGCACTGTATCAAAAGCTTTGCTAAAGTCAAGGTATACAACATCGCAATCCTTACCACTATCAACTGCCTCAACAATGCTAGAATAAAAAGATAACAAATTTGTTAAACATGAACGGCCATTTATAAAACCATGTTGCGACTCAATTATTAATTTATGTTTTTCAAGATGAAGACGAATTTTATTTGCTATTATAGATTCGAGTAACTTTCCCACAATAGACGTTAGGCTAATTGGTCGATAGTTAGACGCAAGTGATCTATCTCCTTTCTTAAAAACTGGTATCACATTAGCAACTTTCCAAAACTCTGGCACTCTGCCTGACTCTATTGATTTATTAAATATGGTTGACAGTGGGTCACAAAGCTCCTCTTTGCATTCTTTAAGCACCCTGGCAAACACTTCATCCGGCCCTGGGGATTTGTTTGGTTTGAGTTTTACTATTTGTTTAAGAACATCCTCCCTGGTAACTGCTAAACTCGTCAACCTGTCCTCGTCCCCACCCACATAGACTTGTTCGGCTGAAGGCATATTGTTAAGTTCCTCTTTAGTAAATACAGATACAAAATATTTATTAAAAATACTACTCATCTCTTCATCACTATCTGTTATTTGACCTGTCTCAGTTTTTAATGGACCTATCCTTTCCCTAGTCTTAGTACGATATAACTGAAAAAACCCTTTAGGATTTGTCTTTGCTTGCCCTGCTATGCGAACTTCATAGTTTCTTTTTGCTTTCCTTATCTCTTTTTTAACATTTCTAACCAGTTGTATGAATTCCTGTTCTAAAGTGACCTCCCCATTTTTAATCCTTTTGTACCAAGCTCTCTTTTTACCTATAAGGTTCTTCAAATTCTTTGTTATCCACTTTGGGTCATTAGTATTCGATCTATTCAATTTGTATGGTATACTACGTTTCTGTGCTTTGTTTAGAATATTCTTAAATAAGTTATATATTGAATCCACATCGAAATCCCCATTTAAGTCACCTATCGCTGGGTTCATGTCTCGCTCCAAGACCGGCCCACACCCCATACCCAAGACTTTCCAATCAATTTGACCCAAAAAATTTCTTAGGCTATTAAAATCAGCTTATGCTGATTTTATTACTGTACTGTACTACTTCAGGCTTGCAAGGTCTGCATAACACTTGGATGCCTTTCCAATTGTTAAGTTTACCCATTCCCAAGCCCAAGATTTTTGGCCTTTTCAGCCCACGGGTCAGCTCTGTCTTTGTTCGTTTTTATCAATTTGTTTTCTTTAGCCTAAAGACAGGCTGTTTTGGGAATATTCTCTGGAGAGCCACTGAGGGTCAGCCTAGATAGGAAGTGATGAATGTAATGAAATGCTCTTTTTTTCTGGGTGACCTCCTGAGCTTCTTGTTCTCTCCTTCCCCATCCCCCTCCCCCTTTTCACTGCCCTTCTTGCAGGTGGGAATCAGTATCATTTTGGGGTCAGCACATGCATAAGGTAAGGAGGCAGGTTGAACTGTTGTTTGACCTGAGTTGCTGTTTGGTGCTGTACTAGGATACTAGCACATGGTTTGTTGACATTGGGCAAACTACAGCTTCCCTTGTTACCATTATTGATCTCTTCAATCAAGATAGTTTGTTTTGCTTCACTTGTGCTTTCTACATAGCCTTATACATAATTTGTTTAGCTTTATTCAGTTTTGAGGTCAATATCAAATTCCCACGTTCCCTGTTGCCTTTATGCAGCCCGTCCTCATAAACAAAGGCCAAATGCTCGTTAATCCCGTTGCAAACCCCCTTATTTATGGATGAAAAATGGTTTACACACAACTCTCAACTGATAATGTTTGTTAGTTTCTTGAACAATGATTCGCTGACAACCTCTGTTCGAACCACAGTGCTGTAAATGCTTCTCTTGAGGTTATCTTGAGATGATTTCGGGGCTTTTAGTGTCCCCGCGGCCCGGTCCTCGACCAGGCCTCCACCCCCAGGAAGCAGCCTATGACAGCTGACTAACACCCAGGTACCTATTTTACTGCTAGGTAACAGGGACATAGGGTGAAAGAAACTCTGCCCATTGTTTCTCACCGGCGCCTGGGATCGAACCCAGGACCACAGGATCACAAGTCCAGCATGCTGTCCGCTCGGCCGATCGGCTCCCTAATGGAGTCACCTTCACCCACGTATTTCAAATACAAAATAATCGCCAACAGAACCTCAACACCTAACCTATCCTATGCCATAAAAATGTAATAATATAATAATATTAACTTAAATATGAGAACAATCCAATTTTTAATACACAGTATGCTAAAATTGATGAATGTATTGGGGGGGGGGAGGGGAAATGGCCGTAGCTGTAATGAGCCTGGCCTTAGAACAGGTTGCTCCATAAGAACACCAGATTCAGGGGTCACATTGTTCAGCAGGCCTGTGCAAATCCAGAGGCCTGGTAGCTTTGTGGATGTCTATTACCGGAGCCAGTGCACTGGAGAGCTCTTAAGGCCGCCTAGAAAAGGGCATTTCATTACACTCGGCATTTGATGTTTTTAAACTAACGTTCATTACATTGTATCAAAGGAATAATTAAATTTTAAGCCAGTCGTATTGGATTTTGTATATTTTAGAAATAGTTTACGAAAACAGGAATGAAGTGTGAAATGCTCAAGTAAATAATGGTTAGAAGTGAACTGATTTCATTGTGTTATTTTGTAGGCCGAGTACAAGGTGTGATGTCAAGTGCCATACCGGAAGGCTTGAGGGACTCTTGCCAGAAAGTGACTCTAGCCATGGAGGAGCTCATCAACTTCCTGCAGAAGCATCCAAATCTTATCCTCCCAGCATCGAGAGACATTGCCACATCAATTGCGCACATTTATATTGGTAAAAAATATTCATGTTTAATGGTGAATATGGTACTGTATGTAGATGCGTGAAACACATATGCTTTATCTTGAGTCATATTGAATTAATAAGTGATACTCCTGTTTATAAGAAGTATGAAAAAATTAAAAGATCATCATATTCATAATGTTTTGCTTGTGTGATAGCAACAAAAGAACGTAAAAGGATTTGACAACAATTGTTGTTGGCTTTTTTTAACACTTAAGAGCATTTGAAATGTCTTATTAACACTTTCACGCTTTAGATTAGAGATAACTCGTCGCCGTTTTCTCTTACGATTCCGCATAACAGCCTACTTTTCTCGTCCATCGAAAAAATATTTCTATAAATTCCATTTTTTAACCGAAATGGATGGGGATACTTTTGTTTTGTAGAGAATTTATTTGCGAATGTTTTGGTACCAGAATGAATATTATATCACATAAACTTCTATGAGTAAAAAAAAATACACAAAGTATGTTTGGGGGTGTGGCGAGCGTGTGGCAGTGGGTTCCCTTTAGCCGTTGATATATCCAACACGTGGGAAATATTTGTATATGTTATGTATATGTCTGTGTAGGGAATTTTACTGCGATCACTGTCATACAAATTATAAAATGTTTCAACAAGTATAAACATGACAAACTTCAAACGAACGAAAACAATGCGTTCGTTTCTGCCGCGAACGCATACTGAGCGACGTGGTTCTATATTTGGCGCTTCTCTTACACATGCTTTGTACAAATGTTATACAGTTCATCTTATAGAAAATTTTATTGTGAAAACATTGGTATAAAAAAGAAATACGTACATAGAAAAGTAGGGTCAGGAAACGTATAAACTTTCCAAGCATGATTTCCCCCGTGTTTTCGCCAGTGCGCTCGCGGCTAACTACTCTCCACTTCACACACTCTTGTGGGTGGGCAATTACCTATATTAAACATTCATATGCATATGTCCGTGTAGAAAATTTTATTGCGATTCCAATGATACCAAAATTAGCGATGTAGGACAACTGTAGGCTTCGCAACCATTAAGAGAGTGGAAACAATTTGTTGCTGTTTGGCGCTCTCGGCGAGTGATCTGCATAGTTTTTTATTTGGTGTTGATACTCCTTATGCTTGGGCGGCATTTTATAGGTATGCTCTTATAGACAATTTCATTGCGAACACAGTGATACCAAATTTAAATACGTGCGCCTTCAATTATTGTCAGGACAGTCAAAAGAGTGTACACTTTTCGGTCTTACTGCGTAGGCGCGCGAAGTGCCGAAAGCATCTGGGGTATTGTTTTTTTTTGAGCGCCGAGAGCGCGAAAGTGTTAAGAGAACAATTATACAGGTGATCATCCCCCTGAAGGATGGGAGCTCCTATAGGAACATAGCATCACAGATATAAACTCCCAAAGATAAACATTTATATACTACAGTACAATATTTATTGCAATAATTTATTATATATTGTTTAAGATTTTGTTACATTTTTTTTCCCCTGCTACTACAGGATGTCTCCTGGTTGATCATGCTGCATGGGAAAAAAGCACCAACAGCGAAGAAGTAGCGAACAGATGGTGTCGGGCGCCTCTAACCTACCTTACAATCGAGCAATACTCGGCTGATAATCAGGCCTTGGTTATGGAAGGTTACAACCCAAGTGAAGTTTATGGACCCATGTTTTAAGTAAATGCTCAGCATAATGGATCAAAAATATATTTGCTGAATTTTATAAGGCGTCTGATTTCATACTGTCTGATTAAGATGAGGAAGTTTACGGGTGACAAATGCAGGAATCTAAGCTTAGGGAATGATAGTTATGAGATATCAGCTGGACAATGTTGAAATTATGAAGGTTGAATGCAAAAGAGATCTATTTATAATTATTAATTCACAAATGTATTTAACATTCCTATTCATGTTGAAAATAAGACAAATTTGAAACCAAGATACATAAGAAGAAGTGTTAATAATTAGACATTTAATGTTATTCTTCTGCTTTCTCTGTACATTCTAAAGAAGTTAATAAAGTCTACATAGGTAGTTAATCCTTTGGTTTATAGTAATAATAATAATAATCATTGTGTCGGGGAACAGGAAGCCAATGTGTATTCATTCACTTTTGGCTTTTATTGAGGCTCCCCCCCCCCTCCAAGGCTGAGTTAAAGACCCCGCCCAGGATGCAACCCCACAACAAGCTGACTAACTCTCGAGTACATACTGACTGCTAGGTGAACAGGCGCATTAGGTCAAAGGAAATGTGCCCAACCATTTCTGTCCCGCCTGGGATTCAAGCCCGGAATTCTTGATTGTGCATCGAGAACGAACCCAACTGTATTACTGGGACCCTCTTAGGACCCTTTCTTATGAAAAGACAGATTAAGAAACCTTAATTTACATTTTCTTGACAGGGAAAGAGCAAAAGGAGGGTAAGACATGATGGAAATATTCAAAAGGATGAAAAGCTTTAACAATGGATGTTAATAAGGGAATTAAGTATGTCAGTACAAAAGTTAACATGAATCAGGATACAAAATCTGCCTCAGACGTTGTTTTTGTTGACTTAAGAAATATTACTGGATAACATATATAATAAGATGTGGGATCACTTCAAATGACACTAGCATATACTGTATGTGTGGGTGAGTTTAGTTGGATATAGAAAGAAACTGCCTTGTATAAGTCAATATGCCTTTTGCAGTTTCGTCAGTACAGTACTTATGTTCTAAAGATAAAATGTTAAAAAATTAAATTCATTACTAATAATGCATGCAATGCATGCTACATATAGTTTTCCCCCGACTTGGTGCCTTTGTTTGATAATTACTTTCTAATAATGTAGTACAGTATTGTACGCAATAAGAAATTTGTATGCATTGCAAATAAGATTATCACGTAATTTTTGATAATATGTATCTTAACATTATATGTTGAGTGTGCCATTGCCTGCCATGGCTTTATATATATTTTGGTTTGTACAATTCAAATAAAAATTCTAGAACTATATTGCACGTGAATGTCATGAAAGTACTCAGTTTAGTGGGTTTAAATTAATAGCTGAAACATTTTTAAGGGCAGAGTTGTGGTGATATAAATGAACACTGTATTACATGCCTGGATCTTCTAACTGAGGCCAGTGGTATTACCTGTTTCTTGTAAATTTGTGTTTTCTAAATTATATTAGTTTTGCTCATGGAATATGCCACTGTTTGATCCCAGGCTCTATATGATAATTAGTTGCTGTTCATAGGTGTTTTTCTTTAATGATGTATTTGGCTGCTGGAAACTAATTTTATACTTTAGAGATGTAAAGAGTATAAAATAATATACAGTATATTTTTATATAGCAAGTATATTTAATATATTGTCATTTGTAGTGGCTAAGTGGTTTCACATGGTCATACTGTTCATAGAGATTATTTGTTTTCTTTATGTATTTTACTTAAGACTGGGAGACCTAGGGTTATACTTATAGTTAATTTGTTCTGCAAAATAAAGGGTATTCAATTTTAATTATTTTGAGTAATCCTTGTTCTGTTGTCACTCCTTTGGGAAAAAGTACATACACGAGACATTATTAAAATAATAATGGCAATATTGTATGTAAAAGATACAGAATTAAGTGGATAACAAATTTATTTGCACTCACATCTTTCTCAAATATCTTACACATGTATCCCAAACTTACTGTAATTATCTGTAGTTACAGGATGAGAGCTACACTCGTGGTGTCCTGTCTTCCCAGCACTCTTTGTCATATAACGCCTTGAAATTACTGACAGTTTTGAACTCCACCACCTTCTCACCTAACTTGTTCCAACCGTCTACCACTCTGTTTACGAAAATGAATTTTCTTACATTTCTCCGGCAGCTATGTTTTGTTAGTTTAAATTTATGACCTCTTGTTCTTGAAGTTCCTGGTATCAGGAATTCTTCCCTCTCAATTTTATAGATTCCTGTTACTATGTTGTATGTAATGATCACATCACCTCTTTTTCTTCCATCTTCTAGTTTTTGCATATTTGATGCCTTTAACCTCTCCTCGTAGCTGAAGAATGTGCAAGAACTGAACCCTGTGGTACTCCACTTGTGATATTTCTCCAGTCCGATACATTGCCCCTGATTACTGCCCTCATTTTTCTGTCAGTTAGAAAATTTATATGAATTATAAATTGGATGCATGAACGTGTAGATGCATGCATGTGGTGGTAGAAGGACATGGGCATTATCAGGGAGTGAGGAGGACATATGGATGCAGTCACCGGGATAATAAACTCTTCATGCAAACTGCACATACCATCGAGACGAAGAAGAGGATATGGGTGTTATGAGGATAGGAAGACATGTTTGTTGCCTAAATCAACCTGAGGTCCCAAAATATCTAGTGGCCTCAATGGAGACAGGAAGCTAGCAGCTTGTCCAAGGCTCCCACCCCCCCTCCTCTGTTGTTCTTGTGGATTTTCTTGACTGAATTTTAAACTGAAATAATGTCTTGGCTTTGGCTTTGGCACATAGGCAGTTCCATAGGTTTATTACCATCTGGGTGAAAAAAAGCATCTGTTTCCTGTCCTGCATTTTGGCCTGTTGAGTTTGTACTTGTTGCTCCATGTATGTGATACATTTGATCTGAAGAAATGGTCTGGAGAAATGTATTATGAATAAATAACTTATTCAGCATTTTAAAGGTCTTGGTGAGATCACCCCTGTCATGTCTAGTTTGCAGTGTTCGTCTGTGGCCCTCAACTGTTCCTGGTATGAGAGTTGACTTAGTTCTGGGATGATTTTCATCATCCCAGAACTTTTGAAATGACGATATGATTTTTGTCACTTTGGAGAAAGTGTTGAACTTTCTCCAAAGTAGATGTGTCCTTTTGAAGATGAGGTCCCCATACTTGGATACAGTTGTCCAGATGGGGCTGCACCTGAGAATTTTTTCAGTTGAATAACCACTTTCTTTTCCTTAAAGTCAAAGGTTCATTTTACTTTTCCTGGGGTTTAGTCGGCCTAATTTTTTTGTTTTTACTGCAGCTCCCACTTGTCGTGCAACTTTCAATTAGTAGTGGATCATAACTCATAGACATCATTCTTCATAAATCTGCTTGCATGACAGTGCTACTGATATGATAGTTGTGATATGCCTATTTATGCCCGACATGCAGGCTCTTACATGTTTCAATATTAAAAAAAAGCATTTGCCAGTCTTCTGACCATTTGGGGAGGTCATGTAGATCTCTTTATTAGGCCGCAATGTCGTTTTTGCTTCCTACTTTACTATAGACCTTAGTGTTATCTTTGGCGCCTTTTTTTTATAATTACTTAGTGTCTAATTACTTACTATAATTACTTACTATAAAACACACTGAGTATTTAACCCTTTAAATGTATTTTTCATTTGTAAATAACCTAAGCCACAGTAGTCATCATGATATGCTCCATTTTCATTATTATTGTCAATTAGTAGTGTAATAATTACTTATTACTTAGTGTTGTCTGCAAATTTGACAATGTAGTTACTAATATTCTCATCTATGTCATTGATGTATGTATCCATCAAAATGGGCTCCAAGATGGAATCTTGCAGTTATCAGGGGGGGGGGGGAAAGAACATAGGTGGTAGAATATGGGTGATATCAGGGTAGAAGAGGAACAAGGGTGTTATCAGAGTGGAAGAACAACATAGATGGCATCAAGGATGAAGAGGAACATGGGTGTTATCAGACGGAAGTAGAGAATGGATTTACGATAATGGAAGGACACATGTGTTGCGAGGATGGAAGAAGGACACAGGTGTTACAAGCATGGAAGAACACAGGGTGTTACAAGGATGGAAGAACACAGGGTGTTACAAGGATGGAAGAACACGGGTGTAACCAGGTTAGATGAACACCGGTGTTACCAGGATGGAAAAAGAACAAGGGTGCTACCAGGATGAACGAATGGAAGAACAGGATGGAAGAACAACACGGGGGTGTTATCAAACTGGAAGGTGAACACGGGTGCCAGGATGGTGACAAGCGGACCTGAGAGTTATCACCAGCGGGAGGAAGCCACAGTGTGTTATCAACAAGGAAAACGTCCAGTATTTACTCACACACAAGTAGCGATAATGTCTCCGTCGAGGAGGGAGAGAGAGAGGGAAGTCTTTCCGATTAGATCAGTGCGTACGTAGATCCTGGTGATGAGCAATAACCTCTCACACCATAGCGAGATCTCTCTCACGTGCGAGCTTCTGTTTTGATTTGTGTTTGTGTGTGTGTGAGGAGCTTATGAGAAACAGAAAGAAGAAGAAGAAGAGTTCGAAGAAACCTTTCGAACTTCTAGTCTATCGATTTGAAAGTAGGTATATATCCATGTGGACGCCCATGTAGTCTATTGACTGGAATTGGACATCCATGGTGTCTTTTGACTGGAATTGGACAGTCGTATAGTATCTTGACTGGAACTGGACATCCATGTAGTATTTTGACTGGAAGTGGATATCCCAGTTGTCTATTGACTGGACGTGGATATCTCAGTTGTCTATTGACTGAACGTGGATATTCCAGTTGCCTATTGACTGGAAGTGGATATCCCAGTTGTCTATTGACTGAACGTGGATATCCCAGTTGTCTATTGACTGGAAGTGAACATCCCAGCTGTCTATTGACTGGAGTGGACATCCCAGCTGTCTATTGACTGGGATTTGGCATCCATAGTGTCTATTAAGTGGAAGTGGACATCCATGTTGTCTATTGACCTCGCTGCTATGCATGTCATCACGGTGAGTTAGATATCTGTATGAGCTGGTCGCCATACAAGGGACATTATAGTCGTTCTTTGCTCTCGCTCAATACTCAGCTTGACGTTGTTTGACGTCCAGAAAAGAACGACGTATTTTTAGATGTTCTTATAATCCACTGCACATGCGTACTGGGAGGAGTTGAGGATATTGATTCCAACCACTTTGAAAAGATTCAGTGTAACTGACATGAGGCAGCACTGGTAGCACACTCGCCCATAGCCTCGCCTTCGATTTGGTCTGGGTTCGAGTCCCAACTGACAGGAGGATCAACAGGGCGCCAATCCTTTAACTGTTCACCTCCATTCGCCCAGCAGTAATTGGGTACCTACCAGGGCTAGATTCACGAAGCAGTTATGCAAGCACTTACGAACCTGTACATCTTTTCTCAATCTTTGGCGGCTTTGTTTACAAATATTAAACATTTAGTGAGCTCCGAAGCATCACGAGGCTGTTTATAACAATAACAACAGTTAGTTAGTTTAGTTCATTTATTATGCACCCCATACCCATCTTGTGGGCGGTAGTGGAAAGGGTTACAGAGGCACATAATGGGCTCAGGGACTGAACCCCACAATTCATTTAGCTAAGCAAGTTACAATCTTGATGAGCTAGTTACAAAATTCAATATAAGTCATCACATCAACAATGGGTTCGAGATCGACCTCAAGTACAGGTTCTAAATTAAGCAACTGACATATGTGGAGAGCTAGTGTCAAAATTTATATGTTTGTCCTGCACACCGCCCCCCATCCAGTGGGCAGCGGTGGATAGGTTACAATCACTTAGTTACTACCTACAGTTAGCAAACTGGGGATATTTGGCTAAAATTTCTGGTAGCAGATCATTTTGAATGAAATATTGACACATCGCTGGAACATTGGTTATAGAATTGTCTCTAAATTCACGTATCTTTTCGCACTCCATCACATAGTGTAACAACAGTTGATTGGGAAGTTTTCATGCTTGTAAACTATTTAATAAATGCAACCAAAGCCGTCAAAGATTGAGGAAAGATGTACACGTTCGTAAGTACTTGCGTAACTACTTCGGGTTCTTAACCGACTGTTGGCGGGTCGTGTTCCAGGGAATACTAGTAGGGTTACTAGTATTCCCTAGGTTACTAGTAACACTAGTTATTAGTGTTACTAGTAGTATACTAGTTACTCATAGCTTACCATGAGCTATGGGAAGGGAAAGCTCTCAGCCTGTTAACAGAAGTTAGCAGTCGTCTCTTCCTGTACCCAGCTGTGTAAACAAAAAATCCCTCAACAAGCCACAACGTAGAGGTAACAGGATTTTTTTTTACCCACAGGATAATAACCTTTGGAATCGCTACTCCCCGAAGCCATACACGTACCAAAACAATACATCAGTTCCAAATTTACGTGTGAAAAGTCCTCAGTAATGATGGGAGGGGGGGGGGGACCTTTGAGAAGCCGCTGGCTTCCTGTCCTTGTCGAAGCCACTAGAGATAGTGGCCTTCAGGTAAAGTCAGGTAAACATTAACCAGTTCCAACCTAAGATAGTTCCCCGCTGACAGGGACAGGAAGCCTATACCTATTTAGTGCTAAATGAACAGGTAGCATCAGGCGAAATGAAACGTGCTCAACCGCTGCTCTCTATAACCTACTGCGGGAATAGAGCCATAGGGGCCTCTCGCCTGTGAGCTAACGACGTAGGCTACTGCGCTACAGGGCAATACAACCACCATTGAAAATGCAACGGGGCAGCCTGAAGAGTCTGTCATCTGCTGTGCCTCATCGCGCATGCTCAGACGCCTAGAAAGAGGGGAAGAGGGGGAAGGGAGGGGAGGGAAGAAGGGTGAGAGGTGAGAGGGGAGAGGGGGAGGAAGGGGAAGGGGCGGGAATATCAGAATGGACTCCGTTACCAGTAGTTCAGAGAGTTCTTTTTCATACATAAAGTTTGTCTTCCAGTAGGTTAGCGCAGGCTGTCAAGGCCTCGCATACTGCTCATTCACGTGGAACGTGATCTCGTTTTCTCTTGATAGCAACAACAACTAATTAATGAACCAACTCCAAATGCTATTAGAACCCCATTAGATTATTTATAGTTAATAATAATCCCCCTCTTACTCTGCTTGGAGTTTAAATTGGTTTAATTATGAAGTGCAGTGAATGTGAATAGAGTCCTGGAGTTATTTATAGCCTGAAACGTATATGCAGTATTTGATGTATGTCTCAATAGCTAAATACAGCCTTTTATGTATCTCTTTAAGTAAATACAGCCTTTTATGTATCTCTAAGTAAATACAGCCTTTTATGTATCTCTAAGTAAATACAGCCTTTTATGTATCTCTTTAAGTAAATACAGCCTTTTATGTATCTCTTTAAGTAAATACAGCCTTTTATGTATCTCTAAGTAAATACAGCCTTTTATGTATCTCTTTAAGTAAATACAGCCTTTTATGTATCTCTTTAAGTAAATACAGCCTTTTATGTATCTCTTTAAGTAAATACAGCCTTTTATGTATCTCTTTAAAGTAAATACAGCATTATATGTACTGTATATTTAGATAAATGCAGCATTCTATGTATATCTCTGTAATTAAATACATTTTGTGTGTATGTTGCCTTTGCATAGCTGTAACCTTTGTATAGCTGCCACTTTTGTATAGTTGTCACCTTTGTACAGTTGTCACCTTTATATAGTTGCCATCTTTTTATTGTATGTCCCCTCTGTATAATTGTCACCTTTGTATAGTTGTCACCTTTGCATAGTATGTCACTTTTGTATAGCTGTCATATTTGTATAGTTATCACCTTAGTATAGTAAGACACATTTGTATAGTTGTCATCTTTGTAATGTATGTCCCCTCTGTATAATTGTCACCTTTGTATAGTATGTCACCTTTGTATAGTATGTCACCTTTGTATAGTTGCCACGTTTATATAGTTGTCACCTTTGTATACATGTCACTTTTGTATAGTTGTCACCTTTGTATACTTGTCACTTTTGTGTAGTTGTCACTTTTGTATAGTTGTCACCTCTGTATAGTTGTCACCTCTGTATAGTTGTCACCTCTGTATAGTTGTCACCTCTGTATAGTTGTCACCTCTGTATAGTTGTCACCTCTGTATAGTTGTCACCTCTGTATAGTTGTCACCTCTGTATAGTTGTCACCTCTGTATAGTTGTCACCATATGAATAATGACCTGCCGGACATTGCACCTAAGTCATTTACACCGAAAATATGACCACTATTTATTTCGTCCCCAAATATTTCACTATTTCAGACTTGAGGAGCAGCAGCAGCTACGGCAGAAGGAGGAAGAGAACTGTGAAGAGAAGCGCCAAGCCATGTCGACCCTGAGCTACACGACCCCTACTCCAGAGGGCTTCGACGACACTGTAACTCTCCCTCGACCAGTCGTGTTCGTCGGTCTGGTCCTTATCCTCTCCACGACTGTCTTGCTCATCTTGTACATCGTTCGCGGAGTGGTGTCTCTGTGTCGCGTCTGCTCTTCAGACACGGGGCAGGACGATTCGTCACCTCGCGTGTCGGGGTTTGGATTGGTAAGTGGAAGGAACGGCCACACCTCCTCATCCCCGTCGCCAGACAGTTCTCATCTCGGAAGAAGAGGGAAGAAATTGTCGGTTCATTTTGATGATGATTCTGGCGAGGAACCCAAACGGGAGTGCGTTAATTCCAGGCGTCTCTCCCAAGACGGCTTTCTTAGCCTTGACCGTGCTGTAAATCAAGGAAAATACAGCAAAAGAATTTCATGTGGCTCAGAGCAGAGATCTAAGGCGATAGAAAGGAAAAGTTCTCGTCCTTTAGTCTCTAGCCAGGGTACGAGAGCTAACAATAGCTCCCAACTCGATCGTCTAGACGAATATTCGAACGTGCGGTCCAGTTTTATGGCGCCACTTCCCACCATCACAATAGAGGCGCCCCGAGAGGATAATAGTGAATATTTTCCAGATTCTGGCTCGTCCTCCATCTCCATATCACAAGACCAATCTTTCAAATCATGGACTCCATTAGACGAGGGCATTTCCTTCGGGGATTCAGAAGTACTTGCAGAAAACCAGTCACTATTGGTTCAGCAGAACTCGGACTTTCAAACAGAAATAAATGTGGCCAACTGTGATAACGGAAGGGGCTTGCGCGACCCGGAAGCAATGAGTGCCGTTACCATGAACACTGCGGAAAGTAATGATAGTTTAACTGGTGCCACAGAGAGAGCTTCGTTAGTACCTCATTCCAGGCCATCATCCCGCTCTCTGGGGCGGCTGTACGGCTGCGAGCTCAGCGCTGGTGGGCAGTCGCAAGCTGCATCCCAGCAGAGTTTTCGTGAGTGCTTTTGCTACGTGTCATCTGACCCAGACATCTTGCACCTTGCTGGAATAACTGCTGATCCTAGATATCTTGGGGAAGGCGCTGCGATAGCAGGCGGGGCATCCAGATGTCCGAGCGCCCCGCCTGCTTTCCGAGCACCAAAGTACAGCACAGAAAATGTGGAAACAAGTGAAATCATTGAATCATTTGAATCAGATCCTAATGTCCTGGAAGCTTGGACCTTTCCCGCGCCTTCAAGGTTGGACGAAAGATTCCCTGTCCACTCCGTGTCCTCTTTGGTGAGGAAGCAGTCCGCTCAGGTCCCGCTCCCGGGGAACACATCAACGACTATAGGCGTCATAGATTCCGGACCGGCCACACAGCCTCGGAGGTTCAGTTCTTTTGAGGTAGAAGCTCGTCGGAGGAGCCCGTCTGTGAGAGAACACCGAAGGAGCTTTCATAGCGGCGACGACGTAGTGCGTCTCTTGCGGCAGTGTTCGGCGTCCGAGACGTCGGTGTGACGGACATGCGGCAGTGTCCTATACCCAAGACGTAGATGCGATGCTTCTGCGGCAGTGTACAGCGTCGGAGACGTCTACGTGACGCTCTTCTGGTAGTGTCCTACACCCGAGACGTAGAAGCGATGCTCCTACGGCAGTATGTGGCGCCCGAAACGCGGGTGTGATAGACTGCATCGCACGTTTCTGTCCACTGTCTATTCATTTTCAAATCTCAAGTCCCATTGTGAACAGCACCGATGTGACAGGTGACGTCCCTCTTTTGAGCACAAATTATCCCCAAAAAGTCATTTGGGGAAAAGTCTACTGTCTTTTTTAATGTCATTATATGTAAGATTATTGTGTGAGTTTACCTGTGCGTTTATATACGTCTGTTCTTCTGTTTATTTTACTGTTCTTCTGTTTACTTTTGTGTGTGTGAAAATGTAAAATTAATAGAGTCTTAAGCGACGCATTTACCTGTGGGTTACCTGTTTCCGAGTTTTTTTTATTAAGAGTTATTTTACTTTATAAGCATAAGGTCCAAACTTTCCTGGAGACAGTGTGATCAACCAGGCTGTTAATATCTTCATAATGTCATAACGGTTAACATACAAATCTGTTACTGGATCAATTAGATCAATATAATATTGGTCAGTATTTAGTATCAGTATATAATATATAGATATATAAGTATATCTATATATAAGTATATATATAAGTTTATTTATAGATATATAAGTATATCAGCATATAATATTAGATCAGTATTATAAGGCTTCATTATGCTGAGTTATGCTGAGTTATACTGAGTAATAAATCAGTGTCCAGTAGCAATATTGCAAAATTTTATTGGACAAAATAATTCTATTTGTTTTTTTTTAATTAATAAAAATATAAACATCTATCTCCATCTATCCATCCACCTATTCATCTGTCTAGCCATCTATCTTTTCATTTATCCATCCATCTATGCAACACTCAATCCATCTATCTATCTACCCTATCTACTCATCTTTTTTTCCATCCACCTCTCCATATTTACTATCCCTCCATCCATCTATTCATCTATCTACTCATCTTTCCATCCATCTATCTATCCATCTATTCATCTGTCTATTCATCCATTTTTCGTCTATCCATAACTCTATCCAACTATTTATCCATCCACCTATTTGTCTATCCATCCATCTATCCATTCATCTATCTATCCATCCACCAACTCATCTTTCTAACCATATGTCTGTCCGTCTACCCATCCATCCCTGTACCCACCCATCTCCTCATCTGGCTATCTATACCTTAATGTATCGATCTATCGATTTATCCATCTACTGATCCATCAATCTAGATCAATATTCCCTGTTACCTAGCAATAAAATAGGTACCTGGGTGTTAGTCAGCTGTCACGGGCTGCTTCCTGGGGGTGGAGGCCTGGTCGAGGACCGGGCCGCGGGGACACTAAAAAAGCCACGAAATCATCTCAAGATAACCTCAAGATAAGATATCTATCCATCCATCAATCTATCAATCCATCAATCAGCAGGAAATGATTGATTGACAGCAGGACATTTCTGCCAATTTACTCGAGATCAGTGAATAGTGATGCATGTTACTATAAGAAAATTGTTTGAAAAGTTTGTTTTGAAAATATGGCGGAGGACGCCCGCCAGTGCCAAAAATATCCGTCGCGTGGGGGGTCTGAATGTGGCACTGGCACGCTGTTCCCTTTTATATTCTGGTGACCCCGACGAGCCTATGTCCATCCCGCACCGCAGGCTATTCCCTCTGCCAATTTGGGTGAGGCTGGCCCGAAGCGTCTGACCTCCAACTTCGAACAGACAGATAGACAGACAGATAGACATTGTCTCTTATTGTATTGGTCTTCGAGGAGGCCCTCAATGGCAATTGGTCTATAAATTGGTCTCTGCGAGACTTTTTTATGTAACAGGTCTGAGTGTTTGAGATCATACTCTTGAAGCACACACAGAATCTGAACGCCCCTTTTTAAAAGCAGCTTTCAAACCTGTTTAAGACGCGGTGAGTTTAGCTGTGACTAAAATAACATTCAAAACGTCATTACATTAGTTTTTTGTATTATTATTATTTTCTACCACAGACGTGGCCACACATTTACAATGCTAACCAACATATATACATTTTCTTCTGTCTTCCATGAACAGGGTTAGAGATGTGTTAAACATATATTTCAAGGGTTTATTGAACACTCAATAAATTTATGTTCAATTTAGTTCAATTTATTGAACACTCATTACATTAGTAGTGGTTTCTAGCGTTCCTGTCACTTCGCCACCACCATCATCACTATCTACCACCATCACCACGCTATCATCCTCACCACTATCTACCCTCCTCTCTCTCTCTCTCTCTCTCTCTCTCTCTCTCTCTCTCTCTCTCTCTCTCTCTCTCTCTCTCAGTTCCCCGCAGCGGTCGCATCTGGGAAGGAGGAAGCGGAACAATACCCTGAGCTAATTAATGCCAGAAGCAATTACAACTGAGACTGCAGATGCCAGAGGCCCGGGGCGAGTTGACCTGACCCCCACTACCAGCGTCTGGCGCCTCTTGTGATGGGGTCACATGTGTCGCCTCCCTCCTGCTGCCCCTCCTGCTGCCCCTCCTGCTGCCCCTCCTGCTGCCCCTCCTCCTGCCCCTCCTGCTGCCCCTCCTCCTGCCCCTCCTGCTGCTGCTGCTTCCCCTGCTGCTGCTGTTGCTGGTGACTTACTGGTGCGTGTAATGGCGGTGTTGCCTGATACCTGGTTGATACCTGGTTGATACCTGGTTGATACCTGGTTGATGGGGTTCTGGGAGTTCTTCTACTCCCCAAGCCCGGCCCGAGGCCAGGCTTGTCTTGTGAGAGAGTTTGGTCCACTATCCATCTATTCATCTATCTACTCATCTTTCCATCCATCTATCCATCCATTATTCATCTGTCTATTCATCCATCTTTTCGTCTATCCATAACTCTATCCAACTATTTATCGTGAAAAGACGTGGAAACATCGAGTTGTTTACTGTGTTAACCTGTGAAATATATGACTCTTTAGGGTCAACTGAGAGAGAGAGAGAGAGAGAGAAAGAGAGAAAGAGAGAGAAAGAGAGAGAGAAAGAGAGAGAGAAAGAGAGAGAGAAAGAGAGAAAGAGAGAGAGAGAAGAGAGAGAGAAAGAGAGAGAGAAAGAGAGAGAGAAAGAGAGAGAGAAAGAGAGAGAGAAAGAGAGAGAGAGAAGAGAGAGAGAGAGAGAGAGAGAGAGAGAGAGAGAGAGAGAGAGAGAGAGAGAGAGAGAGAGAGAGAGAGAGAGAGAGAGAGAGAGAGAGAGAGAGAGAGAGAGAGGTCACATTGCATTGGAGTACTATATACAGTGGTTCGAAAGGCGGGTCTTAGAAGCTGAGGCTCGACCCTTGCAAGTACATCTAGGTGAGCACATCTAGACAGGGAGGAACACACGGGAGAGAAGATGGAGGAGTAGGAGGAGGAGGAGGAAGAGAAGATGAGGGGGGGGGGGAGGGAGGAGGAGGGGGGGGGGGGGTGGGAGGGGGGGAGGGGGGGAGGGGGGAGTATGAGAGGGGGGGGGGGAGGGGGGAAGACCATCAATAACACCACCACCTGCGGGACGCTGGTTCTGTAATCACCATGACCGAGGTCCTATGTTTTAATGTCGTTATAAACACCTGTTAAACTCAAATTATCTTTTTATACATTTCTTGCTTTTTTTCCCCTTCATATTTTACACCTACGAGACAACACCTGCAAAACACCTACGAGACAACACCCGCAAAACACCTACGAGACAACACCTGCAAAACACCTACGAGACAACACCCGCAAAACACCTACGAGACAACACCTGCAAAACACCTACGAGACAACACCCGCAAAACACCTACAACATAAAGAGGGACAGCGATGCCACGCTGGAAAATCTTAAAAAAAAAAAAAATATAGCAACATGAACAAAAACACCAACAACAAATACAACAAAGACAAGAACACACACACACACACAAACACACAAATCCCAGAAGCAAACAAAAGAGCATACGAACAAAAACAACCAAACAACTGCTCGGGGGGTGTCTAAAGGCACGCCAAACACAAACAAATGAATGTTTGTTAATGTTTAATGAAACAAACACAGCTTCACGAAATCTGTAGAAAACAATTAAATAGCCATAAGACTCCCTGGAAGCTTGGAGGAGGAGGAGGAGGAGGAAGAAGAAGATGGAAGAACGAGAAGAAAACGGAGAAATAGGAAGAGAAGGAGGAGGCCAAAACCATTAATAATAACAAGGCTCCAAATAGCACACGCAATGACAGTCAGCCAAATGTTGCCGTCACAAAATTGCGTGCGGTAATCACACGGAGTCATTAGTGCGTGCGTGCGTGCGTGCGTGCGTGCGTGCGTGCGTGCGTGTGTGCGTGTGTGTGTGTGTGGGGTAGTTTTTTTTTTTTTTTTTTTTTTTTTTACATGCAAGCATGCGTATAATGTACAATAAAAACAGAACAAATATAACATAGAACAAAAGTACAAAGCACACACACGTACAATGACAAAGGAACAAATCAAGAGAAGACCAGCCAGAAGGGCTGACCACAAAACAAAAATGCATATACAAACATAACACAAATATAAACACAGCGTAATACAAACATAAGGGAAACAGAGAGGCGAGAAACAGACAAAACAAGTCTGCTAACACCTCTCACACATAACAAAGAGCACACCCCAACAGCCTGAAGGGCACACAATATGACAAGCAAGCGCACACGACATCCACAACCGAACACACAAACGCACAGGAACCGCACCCCCCCCCCCCACTAGCCATACAAGAAAACCCACAATACAAACCGGAGCACGCAGGAACCGGGAAACAATACCCACCCCACCCACTCACCCCACAACCAGGCAACACAAAATACAAAGAAATCACTTGCGAGGAACCTCGGGAGAAATGTACTTCTCCGGGAAAAGATCACGAGGATATTTCGCCTTGTAAGCTTCCCAGACGAGATCTTCAAGGTCGGTAGGGTTTTTGATCCCCCGCGCTCGAGCGGGTATCATAAACTCGGGAACAACTATATCTTGCGGCATTGGCCAACGCCCAAGGTCACTGACGCAAGTCGCATAACGAGGCTGGGGAGCGCCAACCACGCCCTTCGAGGAAGCAGATGACACCGGAGAAGCGGACGAGGGTCGCCGAGCCTGCCACGCCTTCGCCATCGGAGCAGGTGCCGGACGCTGAGACGAGAGCACTTCCACGGATACCGCAGGAGACACGGAAGGGACTGCAGGAAACTGAAGAGGCGGCAAGACTGCTGCCGAGGAAACTGGTAACGAGGAAGGGGCCACAGAACATCCAGAGCGAGCATCCTTTCTCAACATCACCACCAGGCCACCCCGCTCACCACCAACTACAGCAGGGGAAACCACCGCCCACGAAGAACCGGAGCCATCCGACGCAGGCAACGCACCTGAAGCAGGATCCTCGGACACCGGACCAGAAGGTGAGGTCGAAACGCCGGCACCGGCATCCTCAGGCAAGTGTACCTCCGCCACCACTGTAGTGTGCACCACATCCGGAGCCACTCCACCGTCAACGGAAGGACGACACTCGTCGAATTCGCCAACATCAGCCCACGCAGAAGAACGCCGGGAACGCTTAGGCTCGGGCCGCACATCATCAGACCCGGAGGCAGACTCAGCGACCCGCGCAGCACCAACCGAGCGAACCGACGCACGCCGCAGCACGGCAGCCTCCTCAACCACACGGGGCACCAGGCCAGGCACAGGAGGGAATGCCGGAACCACCTCAGCTCCCAGCACAGCCGGAA